AACAGGCAGGCACAAACACACCTGCACAGCAGCTGACACTCACCCGCACAGATCCGGCGCCACCGCAAGCTCCAACGACACACGAGATGAGCCACAGCCAGCAGACACGTGGAGCCTACGGGCCGAAGCGACAGCAACTGCCAACAGCAGTGGCAAACCACAAAACCCACACGGCGAACTCTACTCAACGTCCAAAGCACCCACAGACGACGCTGAGGAGACAGCACACCCCTACGGACAGGAATGGGAGACGGCTGAAGCTACCTGCACGGGCCGCACCAAAACCCATATGCCGAATAGGAGCAGAGGCAAAGGCCTGTCCGGGCACACTCCTGTGCAAACCCTGGGCTATTCGCCCGACGCACCTCACCGCACGGGGAGACCACGCCGTTACCAGAGCCATGCACACTTCTTCCGAGCTGGGGGTTCACCTGGAGGTAACCCTCCCACGCCACCCATACACCCGAGGGGACAGCCGAGCTCTGGCGGATCCTTGGGCCCACGACCCTGTTGATGGGGTCAATGGACATGGCAAGGGCCCCTGCTAAGGCCTCGGGCCAAAGACACATGACGGGCACCCAGGAAGTACGAGGGGAGAGCCGCAATGCGGGGAGCGGAGCGCCTGGCGGGCCCTGACAGACGCAACGACAAGGTTACCACGACGGGCCAGGAAACAGTCTACCTCCCAAAACACACTAGTGGTATCGGGTGAAGTGCCCCTGCAACCCACATCTAGGCTCCCAGCCTAGACACCACGTAGGACTTGGGACGCTCTCACATTACTGTAACTATATACTCGCCTAGTGCTACAAATGCCACCTCTCATGTAACATAGCTTAACCACATACTTGGTCTTGCTAGCGGCAACACACAGCGGCAGCCCTATAAGCCTGCTTTCCCTTTATGGGCTACTTACTATGTTAGCAAAAGGTACTGAGCCGCCTGAAACAAAAGTTAACCTAACCTGTCAGCGTATGTCTATTCTGTATCATGCAGGTGCAGGGTACCCACTAGCCCCATCATATATACGCTGCATACTACCATAGCATGCATCCCTTAGACACAATAGCATAGAATATGCAAACCATAATCTCACGAGACAGTAAACTAGTGGTTAGATTGAATACATCGCAAAAATCGACTGCATGTTTGCCCTACAAACATTAATAGTGCTAAACATAATTCTGCTGAGCTTGATTGATTCGTTTCACTTGATGCTGTTTGGTAATCACATGTTAGTACCAGCTGGTACCACTCAACCTATATGCCCGAAGGGAAGCACCTACAGTGGATAAGTCTCACTCGTTCAGTAGCAACCTAATTTAATACACGTTTACATTAAGCGACTAACTAAAATCAAAAAATGAGGCATTAACAAACTGGAAATGTAAATAACATTGTTTAGTTACACCAATCTACGTTGTGAAATACTCATGCATTTCCCTCTCTCTCTTCTGCACCCCCATATGTGCCTTAATACAAGAAATATTGAAAAAAAAAAAAACTATCACATTCTGTGAGACTTGAAATTGCTGTTTAGTGAATGAGTGAGTGCACTGGATCTTGTATGTTACATGTATTTTATCTGCTTCCTCTGACTGAGTGGGACATTAGAGAATATATTGTTTTGTGTTTACTTATATATGCACTCTCTTGCTTTTGTTTCTATAGGTTTTTGTTTTAACATACATTAATAGAAGAAATCCAGAACACGGACAGTTCTCATTAAAGGGACACTATAGTCACCAGAAATACTACAGCTTAATGTATTTATTCTGGTGAGTAGAATCATTACCTTCAGGCTTTTTGCTGTAAACACTGTGTTTTCAGAGAAAATAATGTAACTACATTACAGCTTAGGGATAACTCCACTGGCCACTCCTCATATGGCTGCTAGAGGTGCTTCCTGGGGCAGTGCTGCAGAGTAAACAGCACTGCCATTCAGTGTCTCCTCCCTCTGCATGGAGACACTGAACTTTCCTCATAGAGATGCATTGATTCAATTCATCTCTATGAGGAGATGCTGATTGGCCAGGGCTGTGTTTGTCTTGTGCTGGCTCTACCCCTGATCTGCCTCATTGACAGTCTCAGCCAATCCTATGGGAAAGCATTGTGATTGGCTCAGAACAACACTTCTGATGATATCCGCCAAGCAGGCAGATCAGGAGCAGAAATGAGCTCATGCGGCTCCACGCTCATGCGGCTATATTTAAACGAAACAGAGCCTGATAGGAGACAGCTCTTGAAAAAGTCTATTCCAGAGACGAAACGCGGTGAGCGTTACTTTGAACTCTCAGACAAGCCTGTACAAAGGACTGCTTTCCCCCATTCTCAATTCCGGATTTGGGACTGATAGGAAGGACATATTTTGGTGTCTTAGGACCCTTAAGACTCCACAGGACTTACTACATATCCGAGAGGACATTCCTTTGGAGATAAGTGGCCCCCACGATGGGCAAGGCTCTTTTGCACAAAATATTCCATTGCCATTATTTATTGTGGTTTTTTTTTTATGTTTGCACGTACTGTTACAATAAATACTACACTATACGTTTTTTTTCCTTTTCCCCCCTTTTTTGACTACTGTTACCATAATACTGAGTATCTACCTGTGGATATAAACTTATTGTTATTAGGGATGTGCATGGGGAAAAATTTTGGTTCGGTTCGGCATTCCGAAATTCTGGATTTTGGCCATTCAGGACTTTGGCATTTCGGGACTTTTCTTGCAGCCGCTTAGTAGATAACTCCCTAATTCCCACGGTATTAGGGAGTGATCTACCAAAAGGCTGAAAGGCCTAAATTGGTCTTTCAGCTAAATTTACTAATACTAAGTAAGAATTACTTAGTATTAGTAAATTTTGCCCCTACTCACTATAATGCGAGTAGGGGCATGTCCATTAAACAGTGAGCAGCCTGATCAGGGGTGGGGGGGGCAGGGGGAGGACAATAGGGCCCCCGCTTTATTGATATTTAGGGCCCCCACCCACCACTCAGGGGTGGTGGCTGGGTAGGGAGGACAATAGGTCCCCTCCTCATTGATATTTAGGGCCCCCACCTGCTGCTCAGGGGTGGGGGCCAGGGAGGAGGACAATAGGTCCCCCCCTATTCTAACTTAGGGCCCCCACCCGATGCTCATGGGTGGGGGCCAGGGAGGGGAGGACAATAGGTCCCCCCCATTCTTCTTTAGGGCCCCCTGCTACAGTCTTATTCCTACCCTCCATCAAAGCTCAAATAATAATTTGTATTTATTTATTCTCAGAATTTCTTGCATCTCTGTTTACATGTTCTAAGGACTCTGTCATCCTTCATCTTCCCCTTTCTGGCTTTAAGCATCTATTGAGACATCTGACACTTAAAAGATGTGTGGTTATTCCAAGAATGCATACAACTTGGCTCACCAAGACTGGTAGAACTTAAAGGGATACTATGCTAGAAATACAATTCTATATTCCTAGCATTGTACTTGAGTCTGCCCCCCACCCCTCCCTTGGCAGTATAAGGGTTAATATACTGTTACTGTACTTACCCGGTTCCAGCAACAATGTCCCTTAGTGCTGGGTTGGCGCTCCGTCCCCTTTCACGTCAACCAACGTGGGATGGGGAGAGCGCTAATGCTTTTCTATGGGGATTTAACTGACGCTGGATGTCGTCATGCAGAGCGCAAGGATGTTCAGCGTCTGACGACTAAAAGTTGCCTAACCAGAAGGAAGTGCCTCTAGTGGCTGTCTGATTGCTCAGAGACAGCAATAATTAATATTGTATGTTAAGAGGACAGGGTCATTGCACCCAGACCAATTTAATGAGCTGAAGTAGTCTGGGTGCCAATATTGTCCTTTTAATTATGGGCACCAAAAAGCAGACTTCACAGATCCCTAAATAAAAATCACTATAATAACTTATCATTAAAAACTTAAATTACTTTAAATGAGCATATCTGATAATATGTAAAGTATATGAAAAGATAATATAGTCAATCTATCTAGGCCATATGTATCACAACCTATGATATCACATATGACTGAAATAAGGAGGCTCATTCTACCTTGAAAACAACTGTGTATATCAAAGAAGCTATTAACTGGAGATTTTGCAAATTCAAACCACGGAATTATGCCTAATTTATATTCCCTTACTGTGGGGCCTTTGAGTATATTTCTTGCCAATTTATAAAACATACAGAACACATTGACCTTTATGGAGCCGTGAATGGAAACTGCACATAAAACACTTTAATAAAACGAAAAAGAAACATCTGATGTTAAATAATATAAAAAAACAGCAGAACAGTGAAAGAATGGCAGACATGAAACAGACTTTACAAAACTTGATTTGACATGATTTCTTACAAAGGTTTAATATTATAAAAAGTAAGAAAAATAGACTTCAACAGGTCTCATATCGGTTGTTTCCTGGCCATATCCATGGCAGCACAACAATGGGTAGCTCCTCCCCTATCCCTAGTTAGACAGGAACCAATTAAAACAAGGGTACAAATACCCCCTCCTACCTCCTCCTCCCTCAGTCTTTTTGTTCCTGTCCTATCCCTGTAGGACCAAATTAGTCTATTTTAGGACTATAATCACTTTTCTTTTATGGCTTACCTGAGGGTTTTTACCTTCTACCCCCAAGGAAGTTCAGCCTCTCTTCTTTGGGAAGCTTCAGTATCCGGCCCTGTGCAAAGGTGTCCCCCTGAAGATACCCCCTTAGTGACCGGGGGTCCTACTTGCAGTGACCCTAGGGGTAGCAAGAGAAAATAAATGCCAAATAATTCTGATTCCCTGCAGTGACCAAGAGGTAGCAGGAAGTGGCGAGAAGACCCTATTCTGGATGGATTTCTACATTGAAGTACAAAACCCCACATGTATGTATGAAAACAGTGAGATCCAAGCAAATACTTTCTGCATATATTCTGTTAATTACATATGTGTGGGGTTTCCCCCCACTACCTTTGATTGCTTTGTACCTTTCTTTCTCTAACTTTTTGGTGGCTCAAGGTATCACATTAGCCTTCCCGGCGTCCTGTAACTCCTGGGGCGCATGTGCGCCGTTTTCGCGCGTGCCCGCTCGTTCACGGGCACATTAGCTTCGCGTGCACGCCAGTTTCGCGTGCACGCTATGTCCTTGCGCGCGCCTAAGCCGGCGCCGGGGTTCCGGCTGCAGCAAGGGTGCCTCCTGCTAGGAGGTTGCTTCCGGGTTGGGGCCGCGCATGCGCAGTTGGCGAGCGGTGAATTCGCTCGTTCTGAGCATGCGCGAATAGGCGGTGACGTCAGATATGACGTCACACGCCTATTTAAGCGCCAAAAGCGTATATAGAGTGTACCTGAGGTTCTTATTAGGACTCTAGAAGTCCTGTTTTCATACATTTTCTGTTTTGAATAGCATTTCCTTTGCAAGAAATATTTGAAGGTAAGTTTTACTTCTTAAAGGTATATACACATAATTATTCTTTTTTTTTTCCCCATTCCCATTTTCTTTTCTTTCTATACTAATTAAATTACTTTTCTAGACTATTTCGTAATCATCTCCACAATGGAGAAAGACAAAAGGAGATCAATGTCTTCTGATTCGGACTCTTCTGGAAATAAAAATAGGTCACACTCTAGGAGTTATAGGTAAGCCATATCATATCATATCATTAATTTTTCTTCATGGATACATAAAGTAAAAGAGTGCTAATATGAGATATTTCCCTATCATGATAGTTCTACGGGAAAGAAAACTGTGAGATCATCCAAAGGAAAATCTCCAAAGAAAAATCAATGTGAAGCCTGTAATAAAAAACCGCTGGAGGGCAAACGGTTATGTGCAGAATGTTTATCTGAAGCAGCTGGAACATCTAATCCTTCAATGGAATTTGTACAATTCATAAAACAAGCGGTGGCTCAAGGTATCAAAGAAGCAGGGGCAAGTCACAAAAGACCCCGGTTACATGAACCTTCGGATTACCAACATCATGATTCGTCAGATGAATCCATGGATATGGAATCATACCAGGGGAATTTCTTATCTTCAGACGAAGAAGAAACTCAGGCCCCTGCAGATTTTCTAGAACCTGCTCAGATAGACCACCTCATTTACAAAGTCCGTAAATCTTTGAGCTTAAGAGAGGCAGTTGCAGAACAGTCAACCTCTTATCGTTATTTCTCAGACTTGAGAAAGAAAAGAGCAACCTTTCCAGTGCATGATACTATTAAGGAATTAATTAAAGACGAATGGTCTAATACAGATAAGAAGCTTTCAGCACAAGGCAGAATTTCTCGCCTCTATCCTTTTGACAAGTCTGATTCATACCATTGGGATAATGCCCCTAAGGTGGATGCGGCAGTAGTTCGACTTGCAAAACATACCACATTACCAGTAGATGATGCAGGCTCATTTAGACACCCAATGGACAAGAAGATAGATCTGCATCTCTCAAAGGCTTATGTTGCAGCAGGGACTGGTTTTCACCCTGCAATAGCCCTTACTTCAGTGTCCAGGGCCTTGAAAATCTGGATCGAAAACTTGGAAGAGGATATCAGAGATGGGAGAAACAGATCTTCTCTTCTGGAAAGATTAAATGATATTAAACTGGCCGTTGACTTTACGTCAGAATCTTCGGTAGACATGGTGAAAGCCTTAGCAAGGAACATGGCTCTTTCAATTTCAGCTAGAAGAGCTTTATGGTTGAGATCCTGGTCCACAGATTCATCATCAAAGTCTAGTCTATGCGCCCTTCCTTTTCATGGTGAGATGTTGTTTGGTAAAAACCTAGACGAGTGCATCAAAAGAGCTGCAGAAGGTAAAAAAGCCTTTCTTCCACAAGACCGGAAAACCCGTGGATCCTTTCGAGCCAGAAGGTACTCTGAGTACCCCTCCTTTCGCGATACCAGATCTTATAAACCGGGAAGAGAATATGGAAGGTCTATTCCATGGAGAGGCGGACATTCATCCAACAGAGGAGGAAAGTCTAGAGGTTCCTCATTTCACAAGAAGCCTTTATGACAATCCCACTTACCATTCTGGAGGAGTAGGTGCCCGTCTACTACTTTTCCAGAATATGTGGAAAAATTCAACTCAAGACAAATGGGTGCTGGATATCATACAAAGAGGATATCTTATAGAATTCTCCACAAGGCCGCCACCTCGCTCCTTCCAGAAGACAATCTGGCCGAGAGATGCAGAAAAAAGAGATTCCCTAAAAAAGTTTATCTCATCCCTTCAAGACGATGGAGTTATCGTTCAAGTTCCAAGAGCTCAGCAAACATACGGGTTTTACTCCCATATCTTTCTCACCAGAAAATCCACAGGGGGATGGAGACCTATATTAGACCTAAGCAGACTAAACAAGTTCCTAAACATAAGGAAATTCAAGATGGAGTCTCTTCAATCCATCGTAAAAGCAGTTTTTCCAAATCAATGGCTCATGTCAATAGACCTGGCAGATGCGTATTTCCATATTCCCATAGCACCCCAGCATCAAAGATTCCTCAGATTCGCTGTGGAAGAGGGGCATTTTCAGTTCCGTGCTCTCCCCTTTGGGCTAAGCACTGCTCCACGTACTTTCTCAAAAGTTCTGGTGGTTCTCATCGCAGAACTCAGGAAGAAAGGCATTGCAGTATATCATTACCTCGACGACATCCTGATTCTGGCAGAAAACAGAGAAATATTAGAAGATCACGGCCTGATATGTATACAGTATCTTCAACAACACGGATGAAAGATCAATTTCGCCAAAAGCAACTTAAAACCATCCCAGAACATGATATATCTAGGAGCAGCATTCAACACTGCAGAGGGGTCCGTCCAACTATCCCCAGAAAGGGGTATGAAAATTCGGGAAAAGGTCAAAAACATGTTAGCATCCAGTGTTTCCTCAGCAGAGACAATCATGAGCCTCCTGGGATCAATGTCCTCCACTATAGGACTTACAAGATGGGCTCAATGGAGAATGAGGCCTTTCCAAAAGAATTTCCTTTCTCAATTCAAGGGCAATCTGTCTCAACCTATAATGATCCCTCCTCACGTACAAGAATCCCTGAAGTGGTGGACCCACAAAGAGTATCTCTTCAGAGGTTATCCCTTAGGAAACATTCCATGGATCATCATCACCACAGATGCCAGTCAATGGGGCTGGGGAGCCCACCTTCAAGACAACTATGTTCAGGGGAAATGGGCATTTTCAACCTCCAACACCCCTTCGAATCTTCTAGAACTTCTGGCAGTTTTCAAGGCTCTAATGCACTTCCGGCAACTTTTACTTCACAAATGGGTCAAGATCAGGACAGACAATGCCACTGTTGTGGCATATATAAATCACCAAGGAGGGACAAGAAGTTGCAGAATGATGAAACTGATGAAACCTTTGATGGCCTGGGCTCAAATGAACTTGGAGAATATCTCTGCAATACATCTCCCAGGAACTCAGAACTCTGTGGCAGACTTTCTCAGCAGGGTGAAATTAGACCCGGGAGAATGGAGTCTATCAGACATAATATTTCTGCAGATCGTAGAAAAATGGGGTCTTCCCCAGATAGATCTAATGGCTACAAGCAACAACAGAAAAGTCAAGAACTTCTTTTCGAGAATTCCAGATCCCCAGGCCATAGGAAGAGACGCATTGACATGCAGTTGGAACTTCGACCTGGCTTATGCCTTTCCTCCGAAACCCCTCTGCTAAGGAGACTACGACAAGAGAAGACATCACTGATTCTAATAGCCCCTTTTTGGCCTCGCAGACCTTGGTTTCCGCTCCTACTAAGTCTGTGCAAGAAGGATCCATGGCGCCTTCCAGTTGTCCCATTCCTGTTACATCAGGGTCCAATTCACCATCCAAACCCAGCATCCCTTCGTCTGATGGCATGGTACTTGAAAGGGATGGGTTAAGGAACAAGGGATTTTCAAGATCAGTTATCGAGACACTTCTTCAAGCAAGGAAGAAGTCTACTTCATCCACTTACTACAGAATATGGGATGTATTTTCTTCATGGGCCAGTTCAAGGCCCTTTGATATGTTGAACCCTTCGACTACTGACATTCTTGATTTTTTACAATCAGGTCTAGAGAAGGGATTGAGTTATAACACTCTAAAGGTGCATGTTTCTGCCCTCTCTGCTTTAACTAATCATAGATGGGCACTGGATCCGGACATAGCTAGATTTCTGACTGCAGTCCTCAAGATCAAGCCACCCATTAAGTCTATTACTCCGCCATGGGATCTCCCTCTGGTCCTGAAGGCTCTTAAAGCAGATCCTTTTGAACCTATGACATCAATTTCCTGTCATCTTCTCACGATCAAGACAGTTCTACTAGTAGCCCTAGCCTCTGGTAGAAGGGTTTCTGATCTCCAGGCTCTTTCGGCTCGAGAACCTTTTACGATATTTTATAAAGACAGAGTCATCCTAAGAACGGTTCCAGAATTCCGCCCAAAGGTGACTTCAGAGTTCCATATGAATGAAGAGATAATCCTTCCAGCATTAAGTACAGAAGAATCTAATAACAGGGAAAACGCTGATGATGATGCTATCGACCTAGTAAGATGCCTTAAGATTTATATACAGAGATCCTCAGAATGGCGCATTTCGGAAAGGCTCTTTGTTATTCCTAATGGCCCTAGGAAGGGTCTGCAAGCTTCAAAAGCCACTATCAGCAGATGGATAGTTTCGGCCATTATCCAATCTTATAGGTCATCTAAAACTAGTGTTCCTGAAGGTTTGAAGGCTCATTCTACACGTTCCCTTTCTTCATCCTGGGCAGCTGCAGCAAAGGTTTCTACAGAACTGATTTGCAAAGCAGCCACTTGGTCATCCTCTAATACATTTATTAGACATTATCGTTTAGATGTAAGAGCTGGCCAATACGATGGATTTGGCAGATCAGTTCTTTCTGCCTCATAGGACTAACTACTATTCTTTTTGTTTATCACATTGAGTTGTTTGTGACAATACACTTGCATTATTTAATAATGTGTCTGAGTTTTTCTTTCCCTCCCTTGGTTTTAGCTTGGGTATTACCCATTGTTGTGCTGCCATGGATATGGCCAGGAAAGAGATAAATTTACTCATACTTACCGTAATTTTCTTTTCCTGGTCATAGGCCATGGCAGCACAAAGGCCAGGGATATTGCTGTTAACTAGACTGAGGGAGGAGGAGGTAGGAGGGGGTATTTGTACCCTTGTTTTAATTGGTTCCTGTCTAACTAGGGATAGGGGAGGAGCTACCCATTGTTGTGCTGCCATGGCCTATGACCAGGAAAAGAAAATTACGGTAAGTATGAGTAAATTTATCTCTTTGGTTTACAAATGGTAATTAAAGAACTCGCTCTCAGCCACTTAAAGCAGGGGTGTCAAAATATTTTTTGGGGGAAGGCCATATTGGCCAGATTGAAATAGGTAAGGAAGGCCGAATGCATAAAATGTATACATACACACACGTGTAAACAAGAAACAAAACTAGCACAAAGATCATGATGTCAAATACAATTTATTACTTTCTTACAACAATAAAAAGATGTATGTGTGTAGTGTTTGTGTGCAGTTGTGTGTTTGTATGTACTATTGCCATTTTAATGCAGTGGTGTGTTTGTGTGTGGTGTTGACATTAGAATGCAAGGTGTATCACGTGCCAACACATTAAACATCGGAGCCATAGGTTTGTTTTTTTCTAGTGGTGGTTCTGAGTTCCATGTGCACTCTAGATATACTTGTGAAAGCATGTAGTATGCTTGGTGAAGAGCATCTATGGGCATAGGCGTGCGCACGGGGTGTGCCGGGTGTGCCTGGGCACACCCTAATCCCCGCGGCACGCCTATGCATAGTGAGACCGGCAGGGGAGTTCTCAGGATCTCCCCCGTCGGCTCATGCAGAGCCAGCGCTATCCGAGCGCCGGCTCTGCTCTCAGCCTCCCTCCCCGCTGACCCACATGCAGGGAGGGAGGCAGGAGAGGACCCGGCGGAGCTATTGCCGGCAGCTCCGCCGGGTTCCTTTCGCGAGATATGAGCGTTGCCAAGGCAACGCTCAAATCTCGCGAGAGTGAACTCTAGCCCCACAGGGGTTAGAGTTCACTCTCCACTGGACCACCAGGGATCACAGCAGCAAGGATCCCCTCCTCCACTGGACCACCAGGGAAGGAAGCAGCAGCACGATCCCCCCTCCCTACAAAAGGTAAGAAGGGAGGGGGGATAGCAAATAATGTACCCCCACCTCCACCCTCCACAATCACCCACCCACACATACACAGCGCCCACACACATACACAGCACCCACAGACATACACAGCACCAACACACAGCACACAAACAGCACCCTCACACGCACACAGCACACTAACAGTACCCTCACAAACACAAACAGGACCCTAACAAACACACACACAGCACACTAAGGTACCCTCACACACAAACAGCACCCTCACAAGCGCACACACACAGTACATTAACAGCATCCTCACAAGCACGCACACACAAACACCCTCACCCACATAGCACACTACCAGCACCGTCACACACACATCACACTAACAGCATCCTCACACAGCACACACACACAGCAGTGTGTGTGTATATATATATATATATATATATATATATATATATATATATATATATATATATATATATATATATATATATATATATATATATATACATAAATACATATCTATGCGGCGTGTGCTTGTGCTTTAGGGTGCACACCCTAATGCAATAGGCTGCGCACGCCTATGTCTATGGGCCCAATACGGAGGACAGACATCTAGAACCCTTAAATCCCATTTTAGGGAATCTAGACGTTCTGTTATGAACATCAAATCTAGTACACCTTTGTGTAGGCACTTTAAAGGGACACTGTATCTGCTTCATTTCATTAAACTGATTATAGTGTCCAGAGTTCCCAAGTTCCATAATTTCATTCAGCATTAAACAGTTTTTCATATTTTTTTGTTTCAGTGCTAAATCAGAGTCCCCAGCAGCCCCTCCCCTTTGTGCTGCTTCGACGAATGAGGAAGTACTAGCATGAGCAGCAATGGGCAGCTATGATTGGCTGAGAGTGTCAGCTGTCTGTTTTTAGCCTATCAGAGCTCCAACTAACGATATGAAGGGTATGACTTCAAGGAAGTGTGTAATCTCTGCCTTGGCCACACCTCCAGAAGAGGCCGGACTGTGGGTGGCCTTGATCCCGTATTTAGTTTTAAACTCCTCTAAAATGGTTTAACATTGTATGGAGAGACAGTGCCAGGAGATTCCAGGCATCAGAAACAATTCAAAGCGATGAAATGATTATAGAGAGTACAGTGTCCCTTTAAGTGTTTCCATTATTTGAACCCTAAGGGGCTGTGATTGATAGCATGAAGACTGTTTGGGAAGGAGACCAAATTAGTCTTTCAGGTAGAACCGTTAAGCCCCCAAAGGGCTAAATGAAGAATTAAACATCAATACTTTGTAAACGCATTTTTTAAAACCTATTAGTAATACCCTTTTTTTTTTTAAATAACCCACTCCATATGTTACCCTCAGGGGTAGTGCAAATAGGTTAAGGGTAACATGGAATGGATTATTTAAAAAAAAATTAAAAAAAAAAGGAAAAGAAGGGTATTACTAATAGTTTTTTAAAAATAGCATTTACAAAGTATTTATGTTTAATTCTTCATTTACCCCTTTGGGGGCTTAACGTTTCTAGCCTAAATATTAATTTGGTCTCCTTCCCAAACAGTCTTCTTGCTTTATCAAAATAACTTAAGTCTCCCTCCACACTATCAATCACTGTGAACTCCAGCCCCTTAGGGTTCAAATAATGGAAACACTTAAAGTGCCTACACAAGTGCCCCATTGCCAATCCGATGCTTTCCCATTGGCTAAAAATCGGCAATTCTGATGTCACCAAGGGGAGGCCAGTGCCGAGAGACCCGCACGGCGCTGTAAAAAAAGGTGAGTTTTTTATGCTTTTAAGGGGACTAGGGAGGCCATCTTAATGGTGGGTTTTGCACTATTGGGTCAGGAATACATAGTGTTCCTTAAAAAAAATAAAAATCACATTTAGTCTATACTTTTTATATATACGACATATCGTCTTCTAACCCATTTTTTATACATTCACTACTAGAGACTTAATTTTTTTTCCCCCCTGCTAAATAGAAGATGCGTTTTTAATATTCATATGCATTGATTATGGTTGCTTTACTTTTGAAACAATGTCAGTAAATGTTTGGTTTTAATTTCTTGTTCATTTGAATGATGATTCCCCTTTAATGTGATCATCTTCACTTGTGGACACTTTTTATTAACAGATTTAGGGATACCTCACTAGAGAAGGTATCTCACATTGATTAGGTCTTGGAAAAAGTCTGGAAGACAAATGAAACGTGTTGACTGGAAGGAACTTGCATATTAGTCCTTTTGTTCTGCCACTTAGAGCGCTTTCACCCAACCTAGTTACCACGGATTGTGGAATTATTCTCCATCTACAGTCAGTCTACTAAACTAAGTGCTACCTTCTTATTCCGTTGAGTTAACTGTGAGCCAGCACAGATAAGACCAGACACGGATAAGTCCTTTACTTCTCAATCGGTCAGGCCAGATTTGGAGTGTTCTGCTGAGCACACTGTAATTCTTATTAATTTATGTCCTTTTATTGTAAAATGGAATTAATCTTACACAAATTTTATATGTAGTTCTATGAGCCTTCTATAGGTGATATTTTCATGTACATGCATGGACTAAATTCAACTTTTTGTATTGCAACAAAAAAAAAAAAAAAAAGTTAGCCGTAAAACTCATCTTACCTTTCATTTCAGTGTATTTCCCCACCTGTCATGGAAACATAAGTCTCTACCAAAATTTTTATATTACCCTCCGTATTCGTGCAAAATGATTAGAAATGCTGTATCCTAATTCTACAGAAGCCTTTGCAGGTCAAACTACAGGGTTTCAGTTTAGTAACCAGGAAAGGTCAAAGAAGACTGAGGATACTACAGGCATTCTTTGCTTACTGCAACAGGAGTCTGCAAAGTGATAGAAGCCTATAGTAGACATATGCTTCTGAAGGCTTAGCTCGACAAAAACGACTTAATATGGTTTACCTAGCTGCCCGACACTTGTAATCAACATTATTTAACCCTCGTTAAAAATCAGGTTCATTAACAAAATGTACAGACTTTCAGCTGTTTGCAATTAACAAATCAACCAAAAGCAATTGAAATATCTCAACACAACAAATGCTTCAAGTGGTTTCCCCAAATGTAACTGAAAATACAACTTATAATGACTTTTTCAGTCTCAAAATTATTCACCCTCTTGAAGACAAGCATCTTTAGTATTTAGTAGAGCACCATTTTGCAGTTACGACCTGCATAGCCAGACTACAGTTTCTGGCAGCGTTCCTGAGGAATCTTAGGCGATTGCTCATGAGCAAATGGCCTCCAGTTCAGTAATATTCTTGGGATTGAACGCTGTAACTGCCTTCTTCAAATCCCATTACAGAATTTCTATGGAGTTCAGATTAGGTGACGGTGATGCCCACTGTAGAATTTTCCAGGACTTCTTTTGTAACCAAGCCTTGATGGAATTTGAGGTATGCTTTGAGTTCCATGAGTGTTCTATTAATTGTAACATGCATGGACTCGTTTTCAACCTGCTAAACGAAGTACATATTTTGAGCCCTGCCTTGAGGACTGAGCTCAGTGCCGTTCAAAAGCATCAGCAGATCTATAGTGTTTGAAAGACTCATATCTGCTGCCATCAAGAGTGACATTAAACAATATGGCCTGATGGTTTCAAGCTCTATAGAGCGATTGTATAAATCTGTCACCCACCGGCTCACAACCAAGTCAAACTCTGTGCAGTGTGTACTTCAAATACTGTAACAAAGCCGGACAGATTTATAGGTGGGAGAGATCAAGAGAAGGTAACACTCATTTTCATAAATGTAGATTTGCCAGGACACTCAAAGATAAGTGTAATCACGGCAAATGTAATAAATGTTGTAGTAATTAACAATAATAATGCACTGGCTCCACTAACTCTAATGTGATTAATTTTTATATCAGATGTCACGTTATAGAAGGGCCATTGCATGTGTTGCAGTTTCTTTCGCTGAGGTCATTAGGGAGTAGTTTCACAATGGGGAGAATTACGAATATGATAACAAAATATAGAAATAAAAAAATTTACACAGAAATAAACGTTGGCAGCAAAATGTTTAATTGGGAACAATCTTGAAAATAAATATGACAATTTAGTACTGTGCAGAGAGAACAGAACAAAAATAATCCTGTTAACACCAACAGATCTAGTAAATGTTCTATTCAGAAAAAAAAAAAAAATGGATAAAATTTTTCTTACACTATCTACATAATATCATTGAGATTATGTGATTAGAATACAAGTTAAGACATTAGCAAAATTAGTTTTCAAATGCTGCCATATATACAAATGTAATCGTCTTATCTCCCTAAGAGAAATGGTTTATGCAGCATTATCTATAAAATTTTAACATAGACAACTGTCAATATACACTATATATACTTTATATATCATAAATGACTACATCTGTTGATAAACGCATTAAACTCTAAATCAATTCACTCGCAAGGTTCATTTTAAGTTATAACACATCACTCCAGCATACCAAGCAAAATTTACAGAGTTTGGAAAACATCCCTCTGCCCCCGTAATAAAATCGTATTGGAATATAATGACACAAAATAAAATGAAGAGATAAAAGAAAAAAAAAAAAAATACATATATTATGTGCATACAGAAAAATATTCAAATGACATAACTTTCACATCAGGTTTTTTTTTTAGTTGAACTACAATTAAGAACATTCATTTGAAAGATTCTGATTAAGGTGCTGTTATTTTCGATCGCTGTCCATATTGAGAATATTTAAGCCACCTGGTTTTTCCTATAGTAACCTTTGCAAATGACACTAGATGAACAAAGTTCTATTTGGCTGCTTCAGTGCATTGAGTAAGGTAGGAACTTTGACAAATTCCTGTTTGTTATTCAGCATCTATGTGTCTACTCTACACCACAAGGATGGGTGAGCTAGATAAAGCATAGATAGTGGGGTGAGTCAGATCATAAACATAAAACACACAAATAACGTATTTTTTCTTGAACGACAACAGAAACAGAGTCTTGAAAGATAATCTGCTACAAAAACTTAAGTTAGACACTTTTCAGACAAGTGGGAACTGATTCAGCATTTTAATTGTATTATACCTCCCTTGCAAACAAACAGCATCTTAGGAGAAACCATATGCAGCAGCATATTATAATACCAACTATTAAGAAGGGTTGGCCTTTATAGGATACGAGAAGCAATCACGAGAAGGGGTTTGACATTCTATTAATTCTTACAGATATATACAATCTATTAAACTGAAAGATCTGTGCTGCTGTAAAACATTCTCTGGGATTAAGCTGGCCATATTATGCTTTGTGAAAAAACTCTTTTAAACAAGTCTTAAAAAGATAAACACGCCGAGTGGCGAATTACATGCGTGTTAGACAATCAACAAACTGTATATCGTGGAATGTATGACTTTTTTTTTTTCCTTTCTGTACCCCCAAAGTTCCATATGTCTCAAAAATGACAAAAACAATAAAAATTGTCAAATTGAAAAGAAAAAAAGATATAAACAAACATGTAGCATATGCCATACTACAACCACACAAGTGAAAGACTAAAGCGGAAGTAAAAAAAAAAAAAGAAAAATACCAAAACCATCTTTCCCAATTGCAAGGAAAATTAAGAAAATACAAAAATAACACGGAAACTGTAATGGTGAAATGAACTATATTTAGTTGCAGAAAGTTACACTGAAACACAGATTTCAACAATACTTCATGCATCTCTCTCACAGGTTTACGAATTATCCAAATCATGTATCTTAGTCAGTGACTGAGAACTTTGGATCTGAAGTTCAGAAAAGGTTAAAGAAGACATGCTAGCACATGATTCTGCACTTCTCCAAACTATTCCCTCCTATGGTAGAGAAGGGTTTAACTTGCCCTGCCCCTAAAAAGTCATTTCCAAAATAAAAAAAACCGACACACAATTTTGTTTTAGTTTTTTTTATACAAATCAGCCATAGGAAATTCTAAATTTACGTGTTGAGCAAACCATTATTTAGTGGTTTTATTTTAAACTTATTTTCTTATACTGTTACCATGTGCTTAGAACACAGTATTTCCTAGCTTTAAGTTCAGAAAAATTGGTTTCCAATTGTTTTAGTACTATGCAACTTTCTTTATAATATTGTGGACAAATGAGCAAAAGGCAAGTCGCCTAATAAGCTTGCTGGGGTTAAAATGGCTTGGTTTGATGGGTGTTTTTAAAAAGCATGCTTTGGGGGTATTATTAAGTGCCTGGTGGGGTGAGGCTTCAAAAACATGGCAGTGTTAATTAAGATGTAGGGGTGATATACATGACAGAGAGGAAAGTGAAAGGCAGCCAGCCAGCAGAGACAGTACCTACCATGCTGTCTACGGCAGATAAGTAAAATTAAACAAAGAATGGCTACAATTTTAAGGCAGCATGACTATTTCAATGTGCATTAATTTAAAATACTTATCCACTCTGTGTTGACCAGCTCTATACGATGGTTTGGCTATATGCTATGCATTATCTATACCAGGATTAGGCAACCTTTGGCACGCTAGATGATGTGGACTACATCTACCTGGGTGCTTTGCCAGAATTATGGAAGTTATAAAATTAGGATAGATGTGGTCCACAAAATCTGGAGTGTCAATAGATGCCGATCCCATATCTATACATTATGAAGAACTAATAGGCATGTAAAAAATATAGATTTTTGCTCACTTTAAAACATTTAAATGAAACATACATTGTACACAGGAGAAGCAAATGCTCTTAACTTTTTAAGGTAACTAACAAACACTTATATTTATGTAGAAAGCCAGTTAAATATGGTTTGAAGTACACCTTTAGAGCAAATGGGTCAACAACACTTTTCAACTACACACAGAATTAGAAAATCTTTACAAAAATGTATCTTTTTTTCTATATTATACTTATAGCTTTAGTTCATGTTACTAGGATACTGCAAATGCAAGTTACAGCAATTCTATAGTGATAGAAAAAGGTAAGTATAACACCACTGAGCTCCCATAGCACCGTATAGGACTGCACTCAATGATTGCCACAGAGCACATGTTGCCTTTGACATTGCAATATGGCCGACAGAACTTGGAATCCACTAGAGAACCTGACAAATTCTGGAGAGGAATTGGCTGGTTGTTTACCGCATGGTTGTAGCAGAGTTACTATAACCAATGTCCTATGTATGCATGTTAATATAGTCCAGGGATAGGCAACCTTTGGCACTCCAGATGTTGTGGACTGCGTCCCCCCATAATGCTCTTCCCACCCATGATGCTGGCAAAGCATCATGGGAGGTGTAGTCCAAAACATCTGGAGTGCCGAAGGTTGCCTATGCCTGAATAGTCAAAATAAATAAATCTGTAACTTGAGGAAAAGTGATGCTCAACATCATAACTGAGGTGGCCCAATGTTAATAGCGTTCAGGCTATTAAATAAATGGGGGCTTCTGGGACATACAACATATACAGTAAAGTATGTTTAAACGTAGCCCTGTTTGGAAAGGAGAACTTGTATCATTGTTCGTTTCTTCAGTAAATATTTTCATTGTTGCACTTGTGGACAAAAGGCTGAGTATAGTGAGGGGAAAAAAGTCTAACAGCAGCTCATGCTACCAAAAGCATGATTACAAGGTAACGTTGAGATGAAATAAAGGGATTGCAACAATAACAAAGTCATACTTTAATCTAAGTGGGCGTTTATTTGGTCCATTTCTAGTGTATTTAAAAAAAAAAAACAAAAAAAAAACCACGACTCTAGAAGCCAAGCTAACTCTTAATGACGTTATAATATTTTTAATCAAGCTCACTCAGTTAAACAAAATAGCCTACCAGATTTAAAGCTAGATATTCATATATTTGCTAGAAATTCAGTTAGCCCAATACTACATATATATTGTTTTTTTTGCCACAAATGTTGAATGTTTCACGTTAACACTGAAACTAAGTTAATAGTCTAATGCACTTGATGTGTTTTTAAAATGTCAACTCTGTACAATAAGCCTCACGGGTAAAAACGAAAAAAAAAAAAAAAGATCGAAATAACTAAGCTTAAATTAGCATAATTACAAAGACTGCGTGACGTACGTGGAGAGATCAATGCAAACGTAGAATGGCTTCATTTCACCTGCATAAAATAAGACTTAACAGCTTTTCTATATTTAGGCATTTGACATGAAGCAGCCAGTCAGCCCAAACCAGGTTCCGTTAATTGCCTTACAAGCCTTTGCAGCTGGAGGTGATAACCTATCAAGCTATTTGTAAAGAAAACAGCTTGAAACCAGAAGAAGAAAAAACACAAAACGATACACAAAAAATGAAGGGGAAACTCGCATCAGTTGTATTGTTGGAATCTTAGACTTGTGTGTGTGTGTGTGGTCCGATTTTATAGGAAATGCTTCTATTGTATCTAATTACCAATATTCTGGTGATATAAGAGCAACTTGAGGATTGCTTCACATAGGTCTATGAAATTATGTTTCAAAGCAGAGGTTGCTGGTAGTAATTTGGGGGTTGTTGGGAAATAGAATGCAGGGGGCCTGCTACTGAATAGCCAGACACATGTGGCATGGAAGCTGTAGTGTTCTGATAAGCAGGCATGTCTGCAGACATTCCAATTGGTTGGCCGTATGCGCCCGCGTTTGACTGATGTCCTGAGCTCTGGTTTAAATATGGAGGATTTGCTACGCCATCATGTCCAGTGCTGGGAGGGGGAAAACAAACATTAATACACACTTAAACAAATAAAAGTTAATACGCACTTAAAATGCTTTAAAACAAGTCTATCGTACGTAAGGCTTTATTTTTCCCTCAAGCTAACCTGTAGAAGAAGAAATCCAGGTCCCACTTCCACAGTAAAATTATCTTTTTAACCCATTTTTATTTCCTGAGAAATATCAAGGCTTTCGCTAAATGTCTTCTACAAAGTTTGCTTCATTCACTACACACAAACACACACACACACTTGGCAAAAGTTTCACGTATTGATCTTATAAAATCAGCTCTGAAAATACAAGGAAGAGAATTGCTACATAGTTACCTCATGTATGAAGTTTGAACAGTTTGTGTATTTACAGTGGAGTTCATATTTGGTGGCAGAGACCGCAGTGGACCAATCTGATCAGTGTTCATGTATCCTTGGGAATGTGATGGTGGCTGAACCTGGTGCATGCCCTGGACCATATAGTTGCCACCCTGTGGTTGGCCGTGATAGCCCTAAGGAGGATAAATGTAAAGTCAGATTAACATACTATGGTATACTTTCACTTCTATAATTGTAAGGTGCTGTAGAATTTATTGGTGATATATAAATGATAAGTTAATTGTACGACACATACTGAAGGGGTAGGAGCAAAGCACTTTACAATGTTTTAAATGAAATATTACTTAACTATAGGCTTCATATGAAATTGATTCTACCGTTTTTTTATTATTATCATTGTACCAGTCTATAAAATGGAAGTTACACTAAAATATATGCTTTCCTCCCCCCCGCTGATAAAAAAAAATGGAAAGACACACAAAGGCACCTTTCACTAATCAAAATAGCATATAATTGTTGTGGTGTTTAGAGTCTAATATTCAAATCATTTTCAATCAGTTTGAAAACCCACCACCTAGCCTAACACTGCTGTCCAAGTTTCCATGGCTTTGAATGGATGATGTTAAAGTAATCCGTTAGCATTATCTGGGTGGGGAGGCTTTGGGTACCAACATAGCAAAGGCTTTTGTCAAAACAGGAAAACATCACCCAAGCACTTCTTGCATCATAACCTTAAAATATATTGTAGAGGTTATGTTGCTTAGAGTGTACCTTTAATGACTTTGGAAACATATCACACAAAAGATACAAGTTAATACAATCAGAAATGTCATAAAACACATTGTACAGGGAAAAGCTCTTTCACACTCCTTTGATTTCAGGTGTTAAGAAAAACCCTCTTGCTATCATTCTGTACTCCAGCAGTCAGTGTCATGGGTCAATATTTAAGTGGTAAGAAGAACAAAACACATTCTGGCAATTCAACAATACCCTTATGACACTGTCCTTCCTTTATAGTAATAATACAATAAAATAACTGAATCAAACTGATCTTTCTTGCGTTTTCTTTATAACAAGTGAACTATTTTTAGCCCTAAAGATAGGTTCCTTAGCAAGGATCTCTGAAAAGAAACATCAAATAAAGGGAGAGGAAAAAAGGGAGGATTCTGTGTCACTAGAGTTCATACTGAAGGCTTTTTGTAATATTTCAAACTGTTAGTCTGTTTTTAAAGGGAAACCGTGTCTTGAGAGGAAACTGAAAATCACTTAGAATGGAGGAAGAGCCAGCCATCCAAGCGAGCAGCAGTGACACATTCTGTGAGCTCTGTGCTTGCTTTATAGAATACGCAGAAACTAAATATATTCCCTTGATAGTCCCCACTGGCTAAAGTTATGGACTATCAACCCTCTGTATCGCCCAGGTTTTATTCATGACAGCAGTATGGAATCCACTTTCTTCTTCTTTCCTTATTAGACATGCCTTAAGATGAAGACAGCCTGTTAAACAAATTACCATCCTGTTCAGGGCACACTTGATTCCCATACCGATCGTGACTTAACTACTGCCATTGGTTAACACTGATATAGGCCAACTCTGACTTAATTCTGGATAATTCCCAAGACTAATCGTGACAATGGGCCTGCAAGAAGCTGCACACAGTTCTCTCTAGAATCTGTTGTGACAACCCATTACAGAGAGGTTTTAAAAAATCCAGCCTGTACATAAATTCAACCTATGTGGACTGTCCTTATAGCTACATGGACCCCCTACTAGTTTTCTTGTTTGTGTTATAGGTTTCTCTAATTATTATGTCACATTTTATGCTGATGGGATTTTTCTGTTACAACCCAAAGGTTCCTCATTGCCTCTGAAGAAAAGGCTGGGTTAATGTCTCAGCGCCCTTACTTAATCCTGGGGATATGTATGCTATCCATATTGTAAGCAGTGCATATTCTGCCGCCACAGATATAGATTTTATGCACATTGAGATGTCTTGCTGTTGTTTCTCTTAAACGAGAAAACACCTATAGCATACATTTTCACAATCCTATGCCGTTTTAGGATAGTCTATTCTTCCTATCTAAAGTCTGTTTCAATCTTTTTAAAATATTGCAACTCAGATATAATCTTTGTCGAGAAACCTACTGTTCTTAGTATATCTAAAATATGTTTATTTTATGTCACTGCTCCTATAAACTAGTACTGAATGTATGCCACAATGTCCATGAAAGTGAGAATTTTCCTCTAAATAAAGGGTTTCAGGCTGTGTGTTATTTAAACACTTGGTTGCAGTGAACACTCCGATAAAGTGAAAAAAATATTAATAAACCTATTAAATGGTGAGAAAGTCTGAGGGTCCTTTTTTACGAACATCTCAGATTATATATAACCACAGAATTAGAGATATAAATAGATGTGACAATTAGATTGGTAAAGGGAGACAGCAGTTGGTATGTCATGTTTGAGTTCACGCTTCCTAGCTATAAATGTAGAATGCAATCTGAGAAATACCAACAGGTAAGTTCTGTTACAGTGAGATTTTTTCCTATGTAATTTGGTTTCCACAACACAGACAAGACAAACTAAGCATTTTTGACAAGGAGCTAAATTTAATATACAGAAAAAAAAAAAATCAAAGGGACCCCATTCTTCCATTTTAGAATTAGCTGAAAGGAACACTATAGTGTCAGGAACACAAACATGTATTCTTGATGATACTATAGTGTTAAAAGAACTACTTGGTTCCATGGCCCCCCTCTTTACATTAAAAGGTGTTCTTACTCAACTTTCATCAGCACCATGCCTGTTTTGCAGCAGCTTGTCCCACCTTGCTCTGCCTCCATGGTCGAGATCATCCACTTTGACTTTCTCAGTTAATCCAATTCTTTCCCACAAGACATCATTGGGAGTCTGCGCTGCGCCCATTCACATCTACTCATAGAGATACATTGAATCAAGGCATCTCTATGGGAATCGCAAAACGCTGAACGCCGGTACTGCACTCTGTGCAGCACTAAGATAGGAAGCACATCTAGTGGCCCTCTGAAGGACTGCCTCTAGAGTTGTTAATAGGCTGCAATGTAAACACTGCCTTTTCTCTGTAAAGGCAATGTTTACATTAGAAAGACTACAGGGGCAGGCCACAGACACCAAAACAACTACATTAAGCTGTAGTTGATCTGGTGACTATAGTGTCTTTTTAAGGACCTATAAGTCAGTTGTAAAAAAAAAAAATAGTACATTGTTTACATTGCATTAAACACCTTCATTAGAAACACTGCAGTATCAAGGTACTATTAACTGCACTGAGAAGGCAGTGCTGCTACAATAAGTTGGTTGTACACAGCTAACTGGAGCCAAATAAATAAAATGTGCTTGCCCAAAGAGGATCCCAAACTTGAATCCCACGCAGGGGCTAAGTACTGTGCTACATTAAATAAGCTGGATAACAGATAACACTCACAATTATATTGTTCGATTGGGGAAGAGAGCATGCATGATTTTCTTCTCAAATTAGAATATACATGTATACACAACCATGCCCATAAAAATACACAGAGTAAAAGTGAAGATTAGCAGGCTACATAAAAAGAGTACCATAACCACTGTTGTCATGCCAGTGGTTATGGTGTTAGAAGTCTGTGTGTGAATTCCTTCTGTTGACGTTAACCAATTAAAGAACAACCAATTTTTTTTATAACCCAGTGCTCATAGCTTTATTTTGGACACATAATGAGGTGAATTTCTCATGATGAATCTTTATGAGGGAGGGGGACTAGAGAATGCTGGGGACTCTGTAAAACAATTTAATAGAAACTAGAGGGACTTCTCTCATAGTCTCCTAGCCCTTAAGCACTACAATAAGATGAAGGAGTTAGGGTGTTTGCAGATAACAGTCATGAAAAGGTTTGGTGATTTCTCCAGGAAACCCAAATCCACAATAAACCTTAGTATTGAAAAATTGGATTCTTTGCTTCAGATTATTTCCTCCCCTGGGGATTTTTGAAATTCCCTCTTTTGAAGTCCTGGTATGATAATGCATGACCATGGCCCTGAACTATAGGATTTAGAATGCATTTTATTACAACTACTAATGTTTGGCTGCTCAGTCAGTTATAAATGTTGAAATACAAAACATTTCACAGACAAGTACAAACCTGCATGGAAACTCCAAGGGATGGTGGGTTATAATGAGTTTGTGGAGATGGCTTACTGTATACTGAGTACATTGGAGCTTCATTCACTAGTTTATTGTATAACTCTAATGCTTCAAGAACCTTCACATTTAACTCTGAGAGTTCAGAATGCTTCCTAGTTAGGAAAAACAAAACAAGAGACATTATATATACACACACTTTACATTCACAAAGAATAAATAAAGCAATGCATTTAAAAGCTTTTTATTTGTTTACAGACATAAATATCAACTGAACAAACTGACTAACTGTTCTATGCAGAGTATGCATAGAACAGTGTTCCATATTAGACCATGGTTCAAGAAAGTAATAGCTGATGGGGGGGTTGGGAAATTTTACCAATTTCATGGCAGACTTGGCACAAGCAAATGCCAGCAATTGTGCCAAGTAGATTAAGTTTATATTCTCTGGACTCACCTGTCAATTTCTTCTAACCTGTCATCGATCATTGGTCCCATTTGCTGGCAGGCGTCTGCAAAAATAAAAGAATGGTTTGCATTACTTTTTTCTGGAGTAATGACTGATGTTGTATTCTCTAGCATTTCAAATAGACATGAGGAATCAGGCGATTCTCTTATTTCATGCCTTAAATACGTACTAAGTTATAACACAAATGATTGAATTTGTAAGAGTGGGACAAAATTACATTGATGACCTCTAGCATTAGCGAAGTGACTGTAGTGATAGGACAATAAGCTTTGATTTCTAGCACTTGGATTACAATACTATTCTATGATTTAGTAGATTAATTAAAAAAATAAACATTTTGCATAAGAGATAAAGACATAGCTCAACAGTTTACATGCTATAAGATGGGTTGGAAGTGGGACAAAAGGTGAGATAAGGCCATTCTGGAGTAGTAACATAAAGGGGAACCAATACACCACTGAATAAAATTTAAAACACTTTTACAGTTGTGTTCACACAACAGTTCATTGTAACAGCTAGCCTTTAAGAAAAGTGTGCCTTGAAACTAGCAGTGGTATTTTTCTGCACAGGAAACAAAAATATATCACTTTCACATCAAATAAATATCCTAAAAAACAGAAGTACACTGACATTGCGCTGTGCAGCTGTCACACTGTCCAAAAGCAATTTAATGGGCTGAGCAGCTGTTTAATACTTACATAGTGGACACTTAGTTCCAGCTTTAAAAGAGAGACTTATTATTTATATAGCGCCATCAGATTCCGTAGCGCTGTACAATGGGTTTAAAAAGCAGATTTTAAATTATTACTGAAAAAACAAAGGCTTCGTATTGCAAGCCTTATTACAGAGTGGGAAGCCGCAGCTCCTGCCAGCATTTACTGAAATAAAACATGCATTCATCCAGTACCCTCTAAATCCAGTAGATCAGCAGAATCAGGCTTGGGGTCGGTGGGATCAATGCTCTGGAGTAACTGCAATGCGTGATTCATTTTCTCCTATAAAAACATTTGAAAAACGTCTACAATAAATAAATAAAGAAAAACCAAAGCAAGCAGCATCAGGTCAGACAAGGCATTTTCATAACCCAAGTGTGAAAACCTATTAATATCAGTGTAAAGGATTGAAGTTTGGCTGCATAGAGAAACGGTGAAGGCAGTAATCTTTTTCATACATTTTTCCTCATCATGGAGATCCTAGTGCAGTCTATAGGAGCATTGATAAGCTATTCTAATTTTCACTTTCAAGAGTTATGAAGTCACTGAACCAGATATTGAATGCAGTGACAATCTAGAGAGTTTCACCTGTGATGAAATGCTGTGCCACAGGCAATTTAAAATATGGACCTGGACGAGTAACTTTCCCTTATCTTAGAATCATGAAACCTTGCCCCAAAAAGTCAGAAGTGAAAGTTTTATTTAATTATTTTAAGAATCTGATCCTAACTTGCACAACAGGTTTGAACAGCCATTTATAAGTCTTTGTAAATCTATTCCCTTTACTTACTTCATCAATGAATACTGGTTCAGGTTCAGCTGTTGTGGTGGGTTCTGGGATTTCTTCAAAGACAACACTTTTTTCAACAACTGCTGTAGAAATAAAAAAATATACTATATTAATTGAGAAACAAGTGATAGGGTGATGTAATGAAAGTGATTGTGTTTTCTTTTTTAAACACAGGGCTGCACCCTCATTATATTATCAAATTAGCAAGTGCACCTTTGTAAAACACTTAGGAAGGCTGCACCTTCAACATGGCCCTACCAAGGGTAGCCCGGACCAAGGGTAGCCTGCATCCTGTAACCAAGGTGTCTCTCTCACTGGTGACCTAGTGCAATACTACAGGTGGATCTGAAGTGGATGACACATGTCTCCATACCATTGGTGCCTCGCCAGTTCCAATTAGCAGTGGCTATGTGGGCCAAAGAATGCGGTCATATTTAAACTATTGAATTTACTACATTTTATTGGTATGGGAGAACATTTAAATCCTCAAAGTTGCAAATTTCATTGCTTCTTTGGATTAGCACAATACTCGCTGCTAGTTAATGTTTTTCTTCCCCTAAGCTAGAGGCATAAGTGTTTATAGGTGGTCATCCACACCTAGTGACATCACATTTTTCTTGGTTTCACCAAGACTATCATTTTATGCTTCAACCCCAGGGCTTTATGGTTTTAGAACACACAACCTAAGGCCAATTCTTCCTTGATATACACAGATTTGGTGCTACATGAGCAAGTCCGTGTTTCCGCAATGACCAATATTTTAAGACAGTTGTGGATCCATTCTATAAAAAAAAAAAAAAAAATCAATTTTGGAACAAAAACACTTAAAGGTCTTAAATGGGAACAAGGTCAGTTCAATTTGAAATGTTTCCGATTTAAGTGCTCCCCTGCCACTGCCTGCCTTACTAAGCACTGAGAAAAGTCTCAGGAAGAGGACAACTACCCCATTGTACAGCGCAACGGAATTTTGATGGCGCTATATAAATAATAATAATAATAAATATTCAATAACGGAAGAACTGTGGCCCGATATGTTTGAATTCAAAAACGTCAGTCTCATTTTTGCCAGAGAGAATTTATAACATATTAAAAAGGAGAAGAACATAGTAATATCCTTATCTGCAAAGACAGATATCATGAAAAATATGGCAACTATTATCTTCATTAACACAGCTCATTAACGTGACATCAATTAACATTTACAGTTCCAGGAACTGAGAAAACAGGAAATGGTGCTGCCATCTGTTAGATATTGTTTAACTGTTAATGTAACCAATGCAGATTTAGGCATCAGATACTTCTGTTTGTTACATTAAAAACAAACCTGGAGGGGGACGGAGCCTGACTAGCAAGAGGAGCAGACGTGTGTGCCCCGAGCTCCTGCTAAAAAAGCAAATAAAATGGGTTTAACCCCGGGAAAAACGAAGACTAAACCCACTGACGGGCAATACAGAGCCCAGAGGGGACACAGCGATATACCCCAAGACCTTACTAAACTGACAAGTCACGGGAGACCGGATGGACACCGATGCGGCCTACTAAACCGGAGCTGGGGATCTCCCTGCCTCCTGGTAACATACAAGGACACACAATCTCCAACCCCCTCCCCCCCCTTGGACCGGCAGGGGTCATCCCGATCCCCACTCGACTGCCTTACTCAAACAACTCTATAGGCGAACCTTGCACGGGGTCCAAGTAAGCGAGGAGACCAGACCTAAAATGGGGACTACCACATGGCAGAGACGGCATACGAACAGCGCGAACCAGCCCTTCGCTCTGTGGACCGCATGTTACAGCGGCTAAATGAGCATTTCCACCAATTATGGACCAACCTGGAGACCCACATAATCTTTATACTGCTCCAGACAGGTCAGCAAGTGATGGAGAGAGTGGAAGACCCCCTCGGGCCTAACTTACCTGGACAAGTCTGCACCTCATATTACTGGCCCACCTGGGCCAAGGGCCACCAAGGGCATGACCCGAAGACATCGCCCACATGGACGGAGGGATGGCCGCCCCAGAAGGCAGCAGACCATCAGGTCCCTCCGCTCTTCCCGCCATGGGAAGGACCCGGCCCATGGAAGTGCCCGGGTCCGTGGTTTAAAGATGCCGGCCCGGGGCTGGAGGGAGGATGTACCTTGCCCCCCGATCAGCCACCTTCATAACCACCCCTACAACAAGAGCAGCAAACCAAGCACAGGACACAGGACCCAGAGCGAGAGCGCAGCCCACTGCCGGATCACCTGCAATGCCCGAGGGCCTACACACAAATCAAGCGCAGAGCGGGTGTCGGCTGAATCCGGGCTACACAGTGGACTATAGCCACGATAATTCGCCCAAGTACCAGAGAAGGCCCCGGCAATATGTAATGAACACTCAGTCTGCCTTTTATTTTTTTCTATCACATGTAGACCGGTTGTCTCTTTTTTATTTCCGTTTGTACCGTTCCTCTCATTTTCCTTGTTTCAATGCATGTACTATAATCCTGATACCTAGCATATAAAGTAAATCCTAGGTACAGACACGCTAGGGACTTCCCCACTAATCCCACTAAAACAGGCTCCACAGCAGCCCCACGTGCAATTACCTGTATCCCTCCTTAGACCAAACCCTAACACCTGCACTGCTTAAAAGAGCAAGCACTGTACCTTATCTATCATAAGCCAGGTGGCTGCAAGTTATAGCCTAATCTATTTTTCATACAAAACTAGTGCAGTTAATGTGGTGACTAGTGCACTACCTATGTTAAGCTTATCTACTAACATGCAACATACAATAAGTCTGTTTTGATGCATTTGAATGTACCTTTGCACCTTCATGACCTCCTAATTGAATACTACAATCTGATGTTAACCTAACCTAATTTTAAAAAATGTGCAAGTAACCTCGAAAACCCCACTGTTCTATCTGCTGAAAATCAATTTGAGGAATGCCTTTGGGGTACCTCATGTCTGCTGTAATATTTCTTTGCTCTGCAAAAAAAAAAAAGATTAAAAAAAAAAAACCTGGATACAAATGGGAGGATTTTAATAAAAAGTAAAGAAGTCCTGTCAAGGGGAGTTGCATATAATAATATGCATACTTCTCAAACTAAAAAGAGTTGGGGCAATAAATTTTTTTTATTTTTTTTTTTAAATGTATTCATTGTAGAATCGAAATATTTCACTAGGACAGTACATTGAGATTCCAAGCACATCCTGGGATCTAACTGCTATCATTCAATTGACCTCAGAAGAACTAGAGGGTGAATTGACCTTGCTAGAACCAAAGCTGCGATGGAAATACTGCAGCTGAAACCCTACTAAGCTATAATTCAAGGATTACCTATGACACCATAGCTGCTCAGACACGGCCGCAAAATGCACCATGGGATTTCTAGCACCATGCTTTACTGAAACTACCAAGGAATTCTAGGATGTTCTCATCATCGTTGGTTTCTGTAGGTTAGTAAATGTGCCAACATTACACAAATTGCATGTAATAAACAATAAAAATACACCATAAAAATATAGGCACATACCTGCTTCAGGTTCAACATTTAAAATTGAAGACACAAAATTTGATGGGAAAAGTCCTATGCCTCTGTGATTTTCACCTTTCCACCAGTTAGTGTCACTGTTAAGAAATTAAAAAAAACATACAACTAACTGGTACTATTTCAATAGATGCTCAACTTTGAAGAAATTACTTTATGTTAAATCACTTTTTATACAGCCATAGTCACCCCTCCCTGCATGAGACATACACAGCCTTCTTAAACACTTCCTTTAAAGAGTCATCTAATGTTTATACTTCCTTTATTGCAAATTCTGTTTAATTTAGAACTTCTCATCTCCTGCTCTGTTAATAGCTTGCTAGACCCTTCAGGAGTCTCCTGTATGTAATTAAAGTTCAATTTACAGAGCAGGAAATATGTTTTAAAGTAAGTTAACAACTGATTGAAAATGATACCATTCTGTTTTCATGCAGGCTGTGTCAGTCACAGCCAGGGGAGATGTGTCTGGGGCTGCATAAAAGGAAACAAAAGCGTTTTAACTCGTAAATGGCAATGAATTGAACAATAAAAGGAGAGGCATGATCTATACACAAAAACTGCTTCATTAGGCTAAAGGTGTTTTGGTGACTATAGCATCCTTTTAAAAGAGACAGGATATATTCTCTATAATTACATGGAGAAGTAAAGGAAAATGTTGCACATTCTTTAAAATGACATTTTCCATATATTGTAGCTTGTGTGTGCATTATTTTGTGATGCATGTATTATCTCCTGGCTTACCCTTGCTTTGTGGGACAGACTATCCTTAAGTTCCTTATTTTAAAGCACAGTTTATCTGATCAAAGCCCATTCAGGAAAGTTGAAAGCACAATTGCTGGGCAAATAAAAATTGCGCAGTCAGGTGGCATTATCCATTTATACATTAATAACCACACATCTGACCAAAGAGAACTTATAATAGCCTTAAAGGCCAAGCCTGGAGATAGATACACACTTATATGTATGCTTTAGTATCATGTATAAAGTACCAATATGGAAGTGAAATTATTAAGTAATTTTTTAATCTATGCTAAGAGTATAAGGAATTTCTTATACCTGCTTTCAGCAAAACAAAAAGTGCAAAAAAAATAAATAAAATGGAAATAAAATTTAAAAAGGAAATAAAATTATTCTTTATATTATGCTTCCGGAATTGCAATCACATTCATAGATTTTCTAATAAATCTGTTAAAATGTACACTCTGGCCTGTTAATAAATTGTCAGCAATGAAGTCCTTGCTGACAACTGAGAGACAAATTATTTTCATTTACAACGACAGAGCATGTGCTACAGTTTCTGTGACTATTCCCCCACCCTGCAAGGAGAATATAGGAATGGAGTGACAAATATCACTCCTTTCTGACACGCATGCGTTAGAAATGAAGCCAGTGGGTTGGTGTCACCGAGAATGATTGACAGAAGTTTTCCTAAGCAGGACCAATTGCGTCAGTGAAGAAACAGAGCAAAGCGGGATAGGTGTAACCTTAGTATAAAGCCCACCGAAAAATAGTTAGGATAAATGATATGTGTATTGCTTTAAAAGCTGTATGTGTCAAAAGATTTGCTTTAGAGATTGAATATGATTTTTTAAAATTTTGCTAAACACCTACCCTTTGTTTAAACAAGGATTGTATTTTATAATACGGAACAAAGGTAATCAATCGTAATAAAAAGAGAGGCACGGTATAGGATAACTCCATTAAACACTTCATACCTATCATCCAAAACAATGATGACTTCTCCACTTTTAAATGTCAATTCATTGTCTTCAACAGCTTCGAAATCATACAGCGCCCGGACCTTTCTTGGCATCTTCTGACTGTCAGGCTGGGATTCGACAGATGGATACAGAGATTTCGTCTCTGTCGGCTTTTGCTCTTGCAATGACAATTCAATTGCTGTTATTTAAAAGCAAAAATGAACTTTAAGCTTTCTGAATTTCCTGTGCGGAAATTTACTAAAATTATGAACTGTAGCAGGTTGACAACCAAATTTTCAATAAACAATTAAAGTTTTAGCAAATAACATTACAATCCAGTCCAGGTCCAGCCAAACTATACAATGAATTGGAAGATACAGAAACCTTGTGTCTTGATTATTCTTCCTGTCCCTACAGACTCTTTATGCCGACTGACAGGTGCAAACGATGGGTTTCCGTATTTAAGGGCAGAACTAATAGCGATTGCTAAAGGTTAAGGATGGGGGTGCTCTGTTACAGTGTAGAGGTAAATGCAGTAGTGTGAATTCTGCATATTTCATTTTATGTTTCACACCTCACAAAGGCATTTGTTAAATATGGGGATAAGTTAACAGAGCATTAAAATTCATGGGAAGAGATAGCTTCACTGTCCACTAACCAATATTAGTGGCTCACACAGTGTGCCCCACAGAGTTAAGTCAAACTGTTTTTTTAACTGTTTGAAACTTACCTGGGTCCCATGGCCACCTGTAGTCCTTCTGCGACATTGCTAAAGCAAAGGTTTTCATCTCATTTTTGTACTATACATTTTGTCCTAATTGTGACACCGACAACCCTACCATTATCACAGACAGCCAAAATGACTGGGAGTACCTGGGGGACTCAGTTAAGAGTAAAACCTTTGGAAAAACAGTTTTATTCATTACCATAGGACAGCGACAGAGGACATATGGCACCATAGCCAATATATATATAAAAAACACTCTGTAGTGGTTATGGTGCCTATAATGCACCATTAATGAAAATGCTAAGAGAGTCTACTGCAGTGGATTGTAACTGCAATACAGATAGGACCACAACATAACTACCGAATGTTCCTTAGCAGGAAACCTGAACTGAACATATCTTACCCAAATGCTGAAGAAGTCCACCCTATACAGTACCTATCCAGTTTATTTCCCATTTATAGGCATAGCTTGTTTCTGTTGCAACCCTGCTTCATATTTTAACTTAACGGTTTATTTGAAGGCAAAAGAAAGAAAAATCAAATCTGATCCATTAGCATAAAATCTATAGACAGAGTACACATACCTTTAGCAATATCTTCATCCTCTTTGTTTTTTACAGGTAATGCACCATTTTTAGGAGTATTTGATGAACTCTGAAATAAAAAGATCAACAAATAAGTTCATTAAACGTGTAATCATGCAAGTAATTACTTCTTAGAAGTGCACTTATAGCTGCACTGTCATGGCCGAATCCTGGGTTTCTTTTTTAACCCCCTCTTGACTCCACTACATCTATTTATCCCCCTAATCACCCCCAAATACCCCTAAGCCCCTCCATATTACCTATTTTTGCATCTTTATTTTGTGCCCGGGCCTAGGTCCTAGGCGACGTCATCTTTGTGTGGGTACATGAAACCCTGTGGGACACTTTATCTGCCCACACTAGATAGCGCTGTGAAATTCATGTGCAAGTCCAGTTAAACACTTGGGCATGTGAACGGGAATTTCATCTATTCATTTGTCAGAAAGACGAATAATGAACAGAAATTTGAAACGAATGAACGAAGACCTCTTCGTTCGTTTTTTACAAGGAGGGATCTACCAGCGCGGAACTCCCTCCTTGTAATATGTAAAAATAGAAGCGACAGGGAGCAGTGCTCCCCACCACTTACTAAGCACCCCCATGTCCTCTCTCACTCTATGTGGGTCAATATCTCCCGAATGCCTCTACTTTCCTGTGGCTGCTCACTATTGTAAAAAGCAAACCCCCCGCCACCTTCTAACAAATGCCCCAATGGTGGGACATCTATTAACTAGCGAGAGCTATAAAAGTAAACGGGGGACATAGGGTCCCCACTCATCACCCATGAGTGGCGGGTGGGAGCCCTAAATGAAAATAGGGTGGGGGAACTATTGGTTCAATTTAGGGCCCCCACCCGCCGCTCAAGGGTGAGGGCCAGGGCGAGGACAATAGGCCCCCCATTTTCATTTAGGGCTCACACCCACCGCTCATGGTTGATGGGGGCCAAGGGGGACCTTATGTCCCCCGTTTACTTTTATAGTCCCAACTCACAGGGCACGGGTGGGGGCTCGGGGGGGACACTATGTCCCCCCACTAGTTAATAGATGCCGGCGTGCTGTCTAAGTGACAGGATGTCCGGGAATACTGACAGGAAACATCGCGGAGATCACGGAGGAAAGGTAAGAATTGTGGGAAAATTGCTTTGACCACACTTTGTTCCCTACGCTGGTTAAGGGTAGGAAACCTCCATAAGACAAAGTAGTCCCTACTTTGTCTTATGTTATAAAGAAAACTAGACCAGACATGAAGAAATGAAGAACAGACCTGACAGAGGGAGAGAAGAGGAATCGATTAAAGGTAAGTTTGGCATGACAGTGATGCTTTAAAAACAACCGATGCACAGAATAGGCCATTTATTTTTTGTTTGTTCAGGAATCACTCTTGCTGCATGAAGGACTTCTATGTCCTAAACTCTAACCTATACCACAAAACTTCAGTTCACTTTTTTTTCTACCTCTGCCAACAGCTATGCACCTATTGTTTTTCTGCTTTGTACATGAACTGAGCAAAATATTTCTTTTAAAAAGTGCACCCCAGATGATAAAAGTACAATAAATATATCCCGCAACATCAAGCATAAAGTATCCATTATTTCATGATGCTTGGAGCATAGCTTTTTGAAGGGAAAACTATTTTACAGCTTCAAAACCATGCCTCCTTTTTTAAAGTAAGCGCAAGAGAGTTAGTAAGACACAAATAACTTCCCATAATCCAATGAGCATTAAGTGCTTATTCAAGGCAACAAGCAACACTTCTATACTTGTTTTGCAGCTTATCGTTTAATAAGAAGAACTAGAATGAGGAGAACCCATGAAAATCATCATGCTAACATGCTCAGTATTTCTCTAATGGGATGCTTTGGAGGAACCAGACTTGTACATCTAAGCCACTTCCTAATCAAAGAGGAGGTCACTGAACAAGATGGATATACTATAGTGTCTACAAATACAAACATGTATAGGTGTAAAACACATCTTAGGTGTCTATCCCCCTTTGCCCCTTCCCTGGTGAAAAAGGTAGTTTACACATTTTTATTCCAGTGCTACGCGGGCTCCTCGGGGCTTGTCCTGCCCACACACTGCCTTCTTGCGCCAATAAGCATCTCCTCATAGAGATGCATTGAATCAATACAGGGCACTGAGATGCTGAACGTCAATGCTGCACATTGTGACCAGGACATTTCATATACTATGTCACAAGAACTAAATTGGAAAAATGTGTCTTTAGCACACATCTCTGAGCCACAGAATTATGGCTGTCATGCATTGCATGCAATCCTACCTGAGAACCTGAAGTCGGGAAAGAGACACCTTCTTCCTTCAGGGATTTTATGGTGGCAGATATAAGACTAAACTGTGGATCCTTCTGAAATTCATCTGACCACTCCACCATCAAAGCTTTCAGCTTGTCACAGACCTTTGGGTGGGCCTGAAATAAAATGTTAGATTGAGGCCAGAAAGTTTAATAAGAGAAAATCACAGACGCTGTACATATTCATGCTAAAATATGAATGAACAACAAGCTAATAATAACAGAAACAATATTGAAATAAGTATTCTTCTGATACAATAATTAGAAATCTTGGTTCACCTAACAGTATATATGATTCTGTAGATCATTATCTGCCAAAACAGCTCTACAGTTTTTGTGCGAGCACAACTCCCCGTGTAGTTCTGAAGTTCACACAGTATTAAGATTTAAAATTGATTGCAGAGCAGAATACATGTACTTATATTATGACTGGAGAGCTTCTTGCTGATTAACCCAGATCTACAGACTATGCATTTAATCCAAACTTGCAGTCACAATTACAATATAAAGTTAGTATATATTTCAGAACGGGATCAAAATATGCTGCTGGAGATTTTTGGACAGCACCAAAACCAAGGTGAACTTACAGACTTGGATTTCGTAGTTCTTCTTATAGACACAAAGTGTTTTTTGGCTAGCTACTTTGACATGGCCAGAGATTTGCTGACGAACAGTGATGAACATTGTGGTCCAACAAAAACTGAAGTGGTAAGGTTGCAGCATCTTAGCCAAGCTTGGGGATAGGCCAGGTTATTTGTAATATATAAGTAGAACACTTTACCAATGACAAGTGTTCAGTAAGAAGTTGGTTTAAAATTTGTTGTTTTTTTTTCTCTGTATAATTTTCTTCATTGCTTCCATCCCTGTGGCATAGGAAATCTATATAAGGTCAGGCAGCACTTTACATGTACTGCCCAGCAGCATTTGACAATGATACATGTCTGGGAAAACATGATGGATTCCTACTTTTGGCCAGTTCAGTGTGGACATTTTCTGTCTATTATAGATCTTAATCATATTTGATCCTGGACTTTAATCTCAATTTCTTAATCCCCCAGCACCAGTGTAGAGGGTCACTCCATGTACAACCTGCACAAAGTGGATATTTAATCTCCTAAACAAACACGTGCCAATCAAACTATAGGCAATTTTTTCCATGCATGGGTGTCCCTTCAGCCTGAAAGTTCTTTTAATAGAGGGGAGTCACACGGTTTTCAAAAACACTCACACAGTACTATTTGCCTCCTATTACAATCTTGCACCATATTTCCTTCTTCGGGAATAACATGTGAATGTAGGTTGAATGATAGAGTAATTCACAAAAGTAAGAATCAGAATTTAAGTCCAAAATAGCTAAGCTAGAATAGATCATTATTCCAACTTGACTATATTGGTCTTAAATTTTAAATTCCTGTTGAATTATTGTCAATTCTCATTTTAGTGAATAAATTTGTGAGTCTTCTAAGCAACCAGCTTGATATGTGAGCCAGTAACCTTTAATGTTGTATAAAGTTAATTTTCATGAAATAAAAGATTACCATTTATTCACGTGATATTTCCGATTTCTTTTGCCATTTGTGACCTATTACCTGCTCCTGAGGCACATGATGTGTAGCTAAGAATTCAGTGACGTCTATGGAATTTAGAATGACAGATTCATCACCTTCAAGTAGTGAATATTCTGCCTCACACCAGTTATGGGTAAAACATGTTTCAGCACAGTAATAAAGATCACATGATGGGAAACTGTTTTTTCTTGTGTGTCATAAAGAAATTCATTCCCAAAGGTGATGCTGTGAATAAGTACTGCTTCTCAAGCAACCAGATCAATAAAATAGTTTGCAAAGCCACCGAACACATTTAGTTCAGTTACATATAGTTTTTAAAGTAGACGGAGCACTAATCACTGAACTACCGCACCAGGAAACATATCTATATTCTATAACAAGAATGCATATTAAAGAGCCACAACACGGAAGTGATAGGCTCCAGGAGGCTTTTTGGATCCACACACTAGACACGAAGACTCCAAAAAGGTTTAAATAAAAGAACCCACTGAATTGCTTTTTAATGCAACGTTAACAGATGCCTAAAGGCTGCATAAATGGAAGGGAATTAGGATCTCTGCATGCCTAAGCAAGAATGCAACTCTTGATTATTGTTAGTTTTTGGGGGGTTTTAAAATAATTTTTACATTTACGGTTTATAATTTTTTCTTTCAAAAAATTCTTTGTACATAGCAAATTCACTAAAACTCCCTTTTTCAGATTCTATATGCTGGGGCAAGATGATGTTTTTTTCAAATTTTTTCGAGTTATACAATGAGCTAAGGAAATTACACATATCATGACTGTCTCAATCACCTTCTTGATTTCCCAGGTCCATTTCACTTTTTACCCTTGCTTGTCCCTTGGGCCAGTCCTATCCTTGTTTACATGCACTTTTTTTTATTAGAAGGCTTGGTAATAATGAGGTCTTGAGAACAGTCCAGATTAGGACTGAAACATCAACAGATACACTTACATTTTATTACTACTTATGATTAAAGCAATATTTGTTAAACAGATTCTAAGATTGCACGTTCTCTGTCTTGCAATATTTGTATCCAGGTCAGAGGTGCACGAAGAAAAAAACAAAGGAAAACTACAGACCCCTAAGGCACTTGCTGAATAGCTTTGTGTGTGAAGAGTGTGTCCTCTTTTTTTCATTTTACAAAAAAAGTGCTGATTTCAATAGAAATTTACACTTTTATAAATTAACTTTATTACACCCACCTGGCTATCAAGCAGACAACTTGTCCAGTTACTTTGTGGTTTGGTTATCTCAGAGGAACTAACCTCAAAAGGCAGCAATTACCCAGAGCACCTGCCTTGCAAAGACTTCTCATTGGGAAGTTTGTGATTGGACAGCCACAGAAAGTCTGGGTGGGATTAGGAGGGGAGGGCCTGCATGGGTTTCAAACAATGGATGTGCAGTTTTTTCAAGCGTTTTATGGATATACACACAATGAAAAAAATACATATATAAATGCATGCGATGTTTAATTTTACATATATCTACTAAACAGTGATTCAATTTATTTTGTATTGATTAGTAGAGTGACCCTTCAAGTGTAATCACGTTGAATGCTAGGCTTTTGCATCATATTATATATTTTTTATTTAAACTATCACATTCTGTGAGCTTTGAAACAGCTGTGTAGTGAATGAGTGCGTGTGCTGGATCTTGTATGTTGTATAAAATGACCCCAACAACACAATTGCAAAGCATGCATGCAGCCATCTTGGTTTTATATATAAATATATTTTGGATACAGGCAAACTCCCGGCCGCTGACGTCAAGATGAAACACTCCGTGGGTCCCGCCCAGGCACCTCGTGTAACAGGATGCGTTTCCAAGACAACGGGGTCTCGCCGATCCCTTAATGCGAGATCTTACTAAGTGTCACCTTCGGGTAATATAAAACACACTACTCTGCTCGTGGATCACAAAGAATCCATTAGAGCTATTGTAGTATAATGGTTCTATCAATACCCAAAAGAGGTGAGACAAACAAATATGTTACAAACATCCAAAAAATATAATTAAGAAGATATCCCCCCAAACGAGATCTAGATTGTTGGGGGGATATCTTCTTAATCATATTTTTTGGATGTTTGTAACATATTTGATCGATTCTGCAAAGGCTAGAGTGCCGTTATCGTTTTGAATATATATATATATATATATATATAAATAAATAAACACACACTAATTAATATATATATATATATATATATAAAATACACACACACATATTTTAAATTCCTATTGAATTATTGGCAATTCTCGATTTTAATGAATAACGGAGTCTTCTAAGCAATCAGGTTGCTTTGTCTTGCAAGTATGTGAGCCAGTAACTTTTAATGTTGTATAAAGTAAATTTTCATAAAATATTTACATGGAGTAAAAGATTACCATTTATTTACGTGTTATTTCCTATTTCTTTTGCTATTTGTGACCTTTTACATACACACACATGCTAACACACACACACGCTAACACACACAAAAAAAAAAACTATTTTAGAGAGAGTAATGTAAATTAAGGAAATGATGAAAAAAAATCTGTTGCCCTTTAAAAAGTACCTTGTTTATAACACCGCGCACTTCGCTTGCAAAATCTCTGGAACATATTTCTAAATGAAAAGCTTTTCCGCAGTTTGACACGCAGGCCCCCAATAGCTATGGACAAATGAGAAGTCAATAAGATGAGAAACATGTCATGTGACAAATGTAAACAGATGTTAAGGAGGGAGAAATCAATGAGAACACTACTTACAGTAAGCGATTGCAATGCCACATGGGGCACTTTATGATTGACTCGCTTCATTATGGATTTCAGGCCATCTTTTGCTCTGAAAAGTAAAAATAATAATTGGCCAATTGTCTGGAAGCATTAGAGGAAAATTAATAAATAAAAACACTGAAATGTTTATTATCTATACTAGTTTTATATGGAGGGACATTTTTTTAAAGTGTTAAACTATGTATTTTGCAGTCCAATATTGGGCTAAAGTGCCGGTTTTCTCCATGAAGACAGGAAAATGACAATTCGCAGATAAATGGATTTTTAAAAAAATACATTTACTTACGTAAAGATACATACAGATGGGACTTACAGAGGGAAATGCTAGATCAAGTCTCGATCATGCTGATAAACCAATCATGCTGGAACTTTAGCAGTGGGAGCACCGAGCCAGCCCTTCCCTCTGTATGCACAAGCGGTTTGTAACTTTACTTGAATAAACATTCGTTTTTTTTACCCCCTTTTTCTGTGAATTGTGGTATTTTTCTCTCTTCATAGGAGGAATTCAGCATTTCAGCCCAATTTGAAGTTTTACACAAAAACAGAACACTTAGTGTGAATGCTTGCTCTAGCCATTTATTGTTTCACTTATATTAGAATTCACATGAGAAGTCCCAACAATATATGGTTTATAACCCTGTTATCATTACCAATAATAAACAAGAGAAATATGATACCAGGTACCAGATGGTGCTGACTTTGGCACATAATGACACTTAAGAATGCGACAGTAACAGAAACTAAGAAAACGTTTCTAATATATAAAAGATGGAAGCAGTATAGTATGTAACCAAACCAACTTTAGCTTTATCTTATTTATTCTAGCAGTACAAAAAATAATACATTATAAGCAAGGAGCAGCAGCAAAGTAGAGCAGAGTTCAAAAGGAAGTTTAAAAAAAAAAATACTAAATCAAAAGTTATAAATGCAGCCACAACATCAGTCTTATGCCAAACATAAGCTTATTCCACCATAATACTGGTGTTGCGGCTCCAATTATATAAGGTTTGAAGGGAACCGAGAACGCTACACACAGCAATATCTATATTGAGCTGGTCTTCCATACCTGGCCTTCTCTATATACTACACCGAAATTCTCCAAAACCAGTAAAAAAACAAAACAAAACAAAAGAATAAAACAGAATAAAAATAAATGAAGAGGAGTATAATGAGAACTCTCTGTTCTGGAGAAGAACATCTTACCCGTTGTGAGTATTGCTAATTTTATCACAAATGTCCATAATAAGACCCCAGTCTTCACTGGTGTTGTATTCATTGGTGGCTTTTTCTGAAAAGAAAATAAAGTAGTAGTTAATAAATTTAAAAAAAAAACAAAACTATTTGGACCACAATGAAATTAATATACGACGAAGACCATGTTGAAGGCCCTGTGTGCAGTTTTTGATGAATCTTATAAAATTACGGATATAAAAATATATCCTTCCAACTAAAAATTGTTTAGTTTTGACAATGGTTCATAAGTCATTATATATATATACACAGACACATACATATATATATATATATATATATATATATACCAATGATGTGTATGATATATTATTTTAAAAAACATTAATACAAATATTTGACGCAACTAAAAAATTGACAGTTTATTGCTTTAGGGAATGCTGCAATAATAAACAATTTATGGGTCTCGATAAATATTGTGTGTTTATTTCTGTTGTTTCTACAAAAGATCTTCCCCCAATGGTTTTAGAACCAGGGGTAAAAAGAAAAACACAGACTTACAATGCAAGAAAATAAACATGTCTTTACAAATGTGGGCTTGATAACTTTTCCTAACTTAGGAGCAAACTTAAAAAAGAATCAGTGACACGTGTTGCACTGGGGTCATTTACAATATCCTGTGTTATCACCCATTCAAAAAAAAAAGAGTAAATGTTTAATATGTGAACTTTGCTTACTCAGTCAGTTCGGTGTTGTCACTGATCTATTTTCTCATTTGTTATTAATAGCACAATACTTTTCGCCACTACACGCCACTAGTGGTGCTTCCACGGTACTGATCAAGTGCTTTACTATGGGGAAGTTTGAATCTACGCATGGCAATCGCCAGGCATGGTGCAATAGGTCCCCAGTTCTCCTTTATGATGTCTCCCTGTCTCCTCCATGACGTCATGGGAGGGTGGTAGGTAATGAGCTTTGAATAGTCTCCGTGCTGGTAAATGATAAGCAAGTCTATTTCTGACTATGGCTTGTATTCCAAACGCTACAGTAACATTACAGAGAATGTAGTTGCTATGATGGAAATTTCTACTGCTTGTCTCCTGTCATTCAATTCCTCATACAGACCTCAATGCCGTCATCATGGAGGTCAATAATGACAACTGAGTTGAGGGCAAGGGGCATTTTATCCACAAGATTTTAGCACACTACATTGATGAAGTTATTTGTATTTTAAATATAGCTAAAATTATGTGTACATGAAGTCCAATAAATAGAAAATAAATACGCAATTTATATATTTAAAAAAATAAAATATGAAAGTCACCAATGGGGGCTTTAGCTCTAAACAATTCCACATAACCAACGGGTCAAGACAGGGCTGCCCACTATCGCCTCTCCTTTATATTCTCTCGCTAGAACCTCTCACGCAACTCATTAGGGACAACCCAAACATACACGGCATTACGAGACAAGGCAAAGAACACAAACTCACACTTTTCGCAGACGACATCCTCTTAACACTCGAGCAACCACACATATCCCTACCTAACTTCCACGATACGCTCACCCAATACAGCAAGTGCTCCTATTATAAACTTAATATAAATAAAACTCAAGCAATGGGCATAAATATCCCGATGGAGGTCTTGGATAGGTTGCGTATCTCTTTTAAATACGACTGGCGAAACGACCATCTAAAATTCCTAGGAATCAATCTCACCCCAAATCTAGCAAACCTTTTTAAAATAAACTATCAAAAAACACTGACTGAAATAAAAAACCTACTACTAGGATGGAAGAGTAAATTCGTATCTTGGTCAGGGAGAATTGCCGCAATTAAAATGATCATTGTACCTAAATTGCAATACTTGTTTAGAACGTTACCCATAAAGATACCCCCCACATTCATGCGAGATGCTCAAGAAACACTACTAACCTTTATATGGGACAGACAAAAAGCACGGGTAGCGAAAAGCACGCTATACATGCCACGTAAAAATGGGGGAATGGGAGTGCCCAACCTAGACAGCTACTACAGAGCAGCCATTCTGGGCCCCCTACTAGCGGCTTGCCATCGAGACCACCCAACCCAATGGATGGAACTGGAGGCGCAGCATGCTAATAACATTCCCATCAATGTACTGGCATGGCTTCCCCAGCACAGCAGGCCTACTAAGGCAAAATTGCTCCCAACCACAGCCCTCACCCTGACCATATGGGACAAGTACTGCCGCACATTGGGCTGGCTGGGCAAAATATCGCCTGCCATGCCCATACAAACACTACACTATATAATACCTAATTTTAACTACACCGTATGGCATCAGCACGGAGTAACACACTTACACCAGCTGCTCCAGGAAAACAAGCTCAGAAATCTCGCAGACCTAACAGCATGTTATAATTTGACTCCAAGGGCAGCTTTCCCCTACATGCAGTTGCAATCATGGCTCCGCAAGCAAACTATAACAAGACCTGACAATGTACAGGGGCTACAGCTGACGGTGGTAGAGAAAATATGCTCACGTCTCGCAACCCCCAAAAAACTCATCTCGGAACTATACCAGACTATGCATCCCCCAAAAGACCACAAAAACCTCTCCTTCATAGCTGCATGGGAGAGGGAACTTACGTACACTCTTGGTGAAAAACAATGGAATGAGATTCTCCTGGCACACAATTCACTCTCCAAATGTGCCTCCCACATGGAACTATCCCGGAAAATTTTATACCGGTGGTACCTAGTACCCACACGCCTAAAGGCCACCTATCCACAGGCCTCCGATATCTGTTGGAGATGTCAACAACACAAGGGCACAATGCTCCACATTTGGTGGGAATGCCCCTCCTTAACACCCTACTGGAATACCATAACCACCATTATCCAAGACAGCACAAAAACACTACTACCCCGCAAACCAGAAATATACCTCCTCCACCTCTTTCCAAAGGGGCTGCGGAGCAGGCAAAAATACTTAATCTATCACATACTTATAGCCGCGCTCACGGTCATTAGCAGACATTGGAAATCTAATATCCCACCCAAAATATCAGAATGCATACAAACGATAGAAACAACTAAGCTCTACGAGCTGGCAGCTAGACGCTCAAACCACTCCAAAAAAGTCTGGTCACAAGCCTGGGAAACCTGGCAACTGTACATGGAGCGTACTAATAATATAACCCCCAATTGAGATGACGGTAGCAGGGATCTACACACCGACAGCTGTGCCCCTTCGACAACGAAACTGTAGCAAAGGGTGTAAATGTAAAGGTCAATGCAATTGTAAATGAAAATGTAAATAATTCTGGAGACTGCAAACACAACGATAATGCCGCAACTCGAATAAAACACATGTAGGACAGATAGTCCTGCAGAAACGACCACACACAGCCGACTACCTAGGAGAGCCCTACCCTCTCCCCCTCTCCTTTCTCCTCCCCCCTTCATCCCCCCCCTCCCTTCCGTCCCCACTCTGATCCTCTTCCACGGTTCACCCTCCACCCCAGTGGTATATGAAATACCAAAGCTCTACACCCAGCATCAATCACAAACCCAGACGATTACCACCCTGGAAGGGACCGATGTGAGCCCCCCCCCCTCAGGGCATGGGGTGGACAATAATCAGCAGACCCAATCAGGGCATCACGATATAACACAATGATCGTATGAAAAGCAAACTGTGTATGATAAATGTGTACACTGTCCTAAGGTCAATGTGTATGAGATACTTTACGTTACCACTGCTCCCCCACCCCCTATTCTCTTCTGTACCCCTATAAAACTTCAATAAAAATTGTCAAAGATAAAAAAATAAAATATATCAATGAGACAGCCACTAGAGGCTGGATTAACCCTATTGTAAACACTGCAGTTTCTCTGAAACTGCTATGTTTACAGCTGCAGGGTTAACACTAGAGGGACCTGGCACCCAGACCACTTCATTGAGCTGAAGTGGTCTGGGTGCCTATAGTGGGCCTTTAACGTTAGCATGTTTGATCTCTGACAACTCACAAGAATTGGAGAAATATGACAAAATAATTATAGAGAGATACTGTAAATGGGACATTTTGGAACGCCTATTGTTTTTTTCAGGTAAATCCACACTAGTGCCCTGGACAGGTTTTATGGAGTGGACAATAACCTGCCACCCCTCTGATCCACCCAAGGGTCTGGCCACTTAGAAACAACCAGTTTCAGCTATATAATTAGAATGCTGGATTATCCAGAAGAAATTTCTTTTTAACAACTGCATGAAGAACTTTAACATCTGAACCCCCCACAATAATTATATATAAGGGGTAAAAATAAATGTAAGGAATTTCTTGTGTTTTCTATTTTATTTTATGGACTGTTTTGCAATTTGTTATATGTGTTTCTGTTATCTGTATGTCATTTATTTTTGTATTTTTTGTACACAGCACTGTGAATTCTTTTTGTCAGATAAAATGTTTACTTAATCAGCTCGTGTCTTTGTTCTCTATGAGCTCACAATCCTGAGGAAAGCTCAGGTAAACGAGTCACTAAAAGGTTATTTATGTCTGATCAGTAAAGTAAGTTTGGGATACTATAATTCTACTGTGTGTGGGGTAACTTAAGACACTGAATTAAGTCTTGGTGGTGGCAGTTAATTGTGTACTAGGGTGTTCGTGTAGGAGGCATTGCAGGGGTTAATTTGGTTGCTGGGACTAGCAACAGGTAACCAGGGATCTGGTGTCATTAACCATTTCACTTCCACACTCTCCCCACTGTCTTGGCTGGGCCAATAGCCCACGATCGTGACAAACAAATCTTGATTTGAATTGAATCTTGAATGACTAGTGATTTAAATCAAACCTACCCTGCTGAAAGTGGACATGGGTAGCTTTTTAGCCTCCTGCCCTACTTTTTCACCAACATTGGACATGGGGCAGCTCTGGTCTAATTGTGACAGTTTAAAAAGTGTGTACTAGCAAAAATGGCTTAGGCATTGTCAGGTAAGATGACAGTTTGTACACCACTAATGATATGTGCAATGCCAAGTAATTGTGAATGCATCTTGAGTCTTGTCCATAAACACATGTCGCAGCCACAGGTTTAAAAAGTGTGAGGACATCGGTAAGTCCTCCATTCTGTACCATCTGTACATCTATCAGTATTGAACATCATGGATGGCCAAGACAGGCTGCGAATGAAGGGCTAAGCTGCCTCCAGCACTTTCAGACTGCCATTATTGCTTGATAACGTGGAAGAGTAATTGACAGGAAATCATCTGCATGCTAAGGTTCTGTGAAGGATCAACATAATTGAAAAGGACAGAGGACGGTGCCAAAGACATAGCAAGCACCATGACTTCTACCATGACCTGTAGTTATGATGCTTAGACTGTTCCTTAAAACTCTCTCTATACAATAGCGCAAACCAACAAGTTGGCCGCGAACAGCCAAGATGTGGCTGGAGACCCTAAGACTAGGACCAATCACCTTCTAAGAGCATCCAGGTATCCTGGTACCCTAAAATTGGGACCAATCACCCTCAGAGTACGCAGGTATTCAATGGTCTGTCAGTATTGCAGCCTTATACCAAAGCCCCATCAATCAACCTCTGACAGTACTCAGATATCCTGGCACCCTGAGACTGGGGTAAATCATCCTCTGAGAATGCCCAGGTATCTTGACACCAAGAGACTGGGACCAATCACCCTTAATGCCTTGTTTGCACTTAGCGGTTTGGTTTGGAAGGGATAAAATGGTCCAGCCTATTCAGGTGAGCGTTTCCACTGCAAGTCGGACCGCCAGTGGGCATGCAGGGTTTAGACTAAATGCCAAGAGTGTCATTTGTCGTGAGCATTGACGTTTTCCTGTCCGCCAATCCATGGATTGTATAGTGTGAAGCCAGTAGCTCTGCCCTAACTGTACCATACCATTTCCTATGGACCTACATCTGAAGAGAGCCCAGAAATAGTGCGGTTTGGTTCTGTTGTGTGGGCCACTCTCATAATGGAAACAATCAAAATAGCATACCAGACCGTACCGACCCTAACAGTACCGCTCAGTGGAAACGGGACATGTACCCAGGTATCCTGACACCCTGATACTGGGACAATCGGTCCCTGAGAACACCCAGGTATCCTGACACCCTGAGACTGGGTCCAATTACCCTCTAAGAGTACCCAGGTATCCAAACAAATATCAATCGCCCTGAGAGTACCCAGGTATCCTGACATCCTGAGACTCGGACCAATCACCATCTAAAAGTACCCAGATATCCTGACACCCTGACATTGGGACATCACCCTCTGAGAGCACCCAGGTATCCTGACACCTGAGGGACTGGGATCAATCGCCCTCTGAGAGCGCCCAGATATCCTGACACCCTGAGACTGGGATCAATCTCCCTCTGAGAGCACCCAGGTATCCTGACACCAGGACAATCGCCCTCTGAGAGCGCCAAGATATCCTGACACCCTGAGACTGGGATCAATCGCCCTCTGAGAGCACCCAGGTATCCTGACACCAAGACTATCGCCCTCTGAGAGCGCCAAGATATCCTGACACCCTGACACTGGGATCAATCGCCCTCTGAGAGCACCCAGGTATCCTGACACCCTGACATTGGGACAATCACCCTCTGAGAGCACCCAGGTATCCTAAGACAGGGATCAGTCACCCTCTGAGAGCACCCAGGTATCCTGACACCCAGATACTGAGATCAATCGCCCTTTGAGAGCACCCAGTTATCCTGACACCCTGAGACTGGGACAATCGCCCTCTGAGAGCGTCCAGGTATTCTGACACCCTGAGACTGGGATCAATCGCCCTCTGAGAGCACCCAGGTATCCTGACACTGGGACAATCGCCCTCGGAGAGCGCCCAGGTTTCAGGACACCCTGAAACTGGGTTCAATCACCCTCTGAGAGCTCCCAGGTATTCTGACACCCTGAGACTGGGATCCAACACCTTCTGAGAGCGCCCAGATATACTGACACTGGGACAATCACCCACTGAGAGCGCCGAGGTATACTGACACCCTGAGACCGGCGATCAATCGCCCTCTGAGAGCACCCAGGTTTCCTGACACCCTGACAACTGCCAACTGAGAGCACCCAGGTATTCTGATACCCTGAGACTGGGATCAATCGCCCTCTGAGAGCACCCAGGTATCCTGACACTGGGACAATCGCCCTCGGAGAGCGCCCAGGTATCAGGACACCCTGAAACTGGGTTCAATCACCCTCTGAGAGCGCCCAGGTATTCTGACACCCTGAGACTGGGATCCAACACCTTCTGAGAATGCCCAGATATACTGACACCCTGACAATCACCCACTGAGAGCGCCCAGGTATACTGACACCCTGAGACTGGGATAAATCACCCTCTGAGAGCGTCCATGTATACTGACACCCTGAGACTGGGATCAAACGCCCTCTGAGAGCGTCCAGGTATACTGACACCCTGAGACTGGGATCCAACACCTTCTGAGAATGCCCAGATATACTGACACCCTGACAATCACCCACTGAGAGCGCCCAGGTATACTGACACCCTGAGACTGTGATAAATCGCCCTCTGAGAGCGTCCATGTATACTGACACCCTGAGACTGGGATCCAACACCTTCTGAGAATGCCCAGATATACTGACACCCTGACAATCACCCACTGAGAGCGCCCAGGTATACTGACACCCTGAGACTGGAATAAATCACCCTCTGAGAGCGTCCATGTATACTGACACCCTGAGACTGGGATCAAACGCCCTCTGAGAGCGTCCAGGTATACTGACACCCTGAGACTGGGATCAAACGCCCTCTGAGAGCGTCCATGTATACTGACACCCTGAGACTGGGATCAATCGCCCTCTGAGAGCGTCCATGTATACTGACACCCTGAGACTGGGATCAATCGCCCTCTGAGAGCGTCCATGTATACTGACACCCTGAGACTGGGATCAATCACCCACTGAGAGCGCCCAGGTATACTGACACCCTGAGACTGGGATCAATCACCCTCTGAGAGCGTCCAGGTATACTGACACCCTGAGACTGGGTTCAATCACCCTCTGAGAGCGTCCATGTATACTGACACCCTGAGACTGGGATCAAACGCCCTCTGAGAGCGTCCAGGTATACTGACACCCTGAGACTGGGATCAATCACCCTCTGAGAGCGTCCAGGTATACTGACACCCTGAGACTGGGATCAATCAACCTCTGAGAGCGCCCGGGTATCGTGACACTGTGCCCAGGTATCGTGACATTGTATCGCTGCCTTATACCAAGGCTCCGTCTCACTCACCCACATCCTGGTCGAACGGGTTGGAGCCGAAGAGCGGCATGGCCGGGAGATGAGGCGAAGTTGTGTCCGTGAAGTTGTCTCAGGCCCCGCTCCAGTCACCCTCTTCCTGCTCCGGCTTCTCCCGTCACAACAAGCCAGCGGCCCAGCAGGCTTCCGTGTGCTCTGAGCTGCCCGCGCACCGCCTGACAGAACAATGTCCCTCAGATCAGCTCTCTCCCCGGCCCCAAATCTTCTCAGCGACCTCACACTGGGATTAAAACCCCCCCGGGAAGTTCCCGCCGCTGTTAGGTGATTTTGTGCGGCCTTTTGTTTATTTTTGCTGCTATATCTTTATCAGGCAGTGACTTGGACACCAAAATCACAAGGCATTGTGGGGATTTTTTTCTTCCCAGGGAGGCCCTCGAAAGGAGGAAGGGCAGATTGCCTGCGAGCTGGAATGTCATGTGAGTGACGTCACTGCACGGCCATCATTGTGTAGCCAGCGAGCTACAGTGCTGCATTCATTGAGATGGGAAGATGGTATTGGTCTCCAATGTAATGGCGCCCAGAATGGATGTGTGCAGACAGCAATGGACACTTTATTTCACCTGAAATGGCAAAGCCTTTTTTAGGTGCTCAAACATAAAACATGTTTTTTTCCCCCCAAAGTATAAGTTGGATAAATAATAAAACATTAATATGATTTAATAGTTGGAGGAATAATGAAACTGGGAGATATAGGTGTTATTATTATTATTATTATTATTGCCATTTATATAGCGCCAACAGATTCCGTAGCACTTTACAATATTATGAAAAGGGATTTAACTATAAATAGGACAATTACAAATAAACTTACAGGAACAATAGGTTGAAGAGGACCCTGCTCAATTGAGCTTACATTCTATAGGAGGTGGGGTGTAAAACACATTAGGACAGGAATGTGCAATCAAATAAGGTGGGCTGCCCTTTAGGAGAGGGCAAGAGACAGGTATGTGAGGTAGGGGTTAGTCTTGGAGGCCATAAGCTTTCCTAAAGAGATGGGTTTTAAGGCACTTCTTAAAAGATGCAAGACTAGGGGAGAGTCGGATGGCGGTAGGCAGGCTATTCCATAGGAAGGGAGCCGCCCGCGAGAAGTCCTGCAAGCGCGAGTTGGCCGTACGGGTGCGGACAACGGACAGGAGGTGGTCACGGGCAGAGCGGAGAGACCGAGAAGGGACATACCTGTGGATCAGTGAGGAGATATAAGAGGGGCTAGAGTTGTTCAGTGCTTTATAGGTGTGAGTTAGTGCCTTGAATTGACTCCTATAGCACACAGGAAACCAATGTAAGGACTGGCAGAGGGGTGAGGTGTGAGAGAACCGACTAGAGAGGAAAATCAGTCAAGCAGCAGCATTCATTACAGACTGTAGGGGTGCAGTACGGCTTTTAGGAAGACCAAGCAGGAGAGGGTTACAATAATCCATGCGTGAAATTATTAGAGCATGGACAAGCTCCTTGGTAGTATCTGGTGCAAGAAAGGGGCGGATGCAGGCTATGTTTTTAAGATGGAATCTACAGGATTTGGCAACATGCTGGATGTGAGGCTCAAAGGTGAGACCAGAGTCAAGTATGATGCCAAGACAGCGCGCTTGCAAGGATGGGCTGATGTTGGTACCACAAACTTGAAGGGAGAGCGAGAGAGGAGGATCAGTATTAGGAGGAGGAAAGACAAGGAGCTCAGTTTTTGAGAGATTGAGTTTCAGAAAGCGGGAGGACATCCAGTCAGAGATGGAAGAAAGGCAAGCAGTGACACGTTGCAGGACAGCAGGGGAGAGGTCCGGGGAGGAGAGATATAGCTGGGTGTCATCAGCGTACAGGTGGTAGTGGAAACCAAATGAGGTAATAAGTTTGCCAAGAGAGGCAGTGTAAAGAGAAAATAGAAGGGGACCAAGGACGGAGCCTTGGGGGACTCCAACCGAGACAGGGCGAGGGGAGGAGGTATCATTAGAAAAAGAGACACTGAATGAGCGTTGGGAGAGATAAGAGGAAAACCACGAGAGGACAGAGTCACAGAGACCAAGCGATTGCAGAGTTTGAAGAAGGAGAGCATGATCAACGGTGTCAAAGGCCGCCGAGAGGTCAAGAAGAATTAGTATGGAGTAGTGGCCTTTGGATTTAGCTGCGATTAGGTCGTTAGTAACTTTGATAAGGGCAGTCTCTGTAGAGTGGAGAGGGCGGAAGCCAGATTGAAGGGGGTCAAGGAGAGAGTTGGAATTGAGGAAATGAGACACACGGGTAAAGACGAGTCTTTCCAGAAGCTTTGAGGAAAAAGGGAGCAGGGATATGGGACGGTAGTTAGAGGGGGTGGATGGGTCAAGGGATGGTTTTTTTAGTATAGGTACTACAGTGGCATGTTTAAGGTCAGCAGGGACGATGCCAGAAGAGAGCGAGCAGTTGAAGATGTGTGTTAGAGAAGGCACGAGACAAGTGGAGAGAGATCTGATAAGGTGAGACGGGACAGGATCGAGCGGGCAAGTGGTGGGGCGAGAGGAGCAAAGAAGAGCAGCCACCTCTTGGTCAGTGGCTGGGGAGAATGTCTGAAGGGTAGGAAAGGCATGATCAATGTGTGATTGAGAAGCAGAAAGGCAAGGAGGGGAGAATTCTTTCCTTAGCTGTTCAATTTTGTCAGTGAAGTAACATGCAAAGTTATCAGCAGTAAGGTTGGTTTGGGGGGTGGCCACAGCGGGGTGAAGAAGAGAATTAAAGGTGTCAAAGAGACGCCTGGGGTTGCGGGAACATGAACTAATGAGAGAGGAAAAATAGGACTGTTTGGCAAGGGCAAGGGCTGCACTGTATGAACACAGTATGAATCTATAATGGAGAAAGTCTGACTGGGTGCGAGACTTCCTCCAGGAGCGTTCGGCACACCGGGAGCATCTTTGCAGGTAGCGCGTTATGGTTTTGTCCACATGGAGCTGGGGCAAGGCTGGGCATGCTTATTTTCCCATGTACTCCTAGGAAGATTTGCAGGGATTTATTCACTAAACTGGGAATTCTGAGGAATAAAACAATTGCATTTGTTATCCCAAAGTTAGAAAGCATTCTACAACTTAGCTACTAATCCAGTTCAGCGTTTGTGTTTTTTAAAAAGTGCGTTTTCCCTTTATACCTTCTGCAGGTGCTGGTTTAGTAAATCAGCATGGCCTGATTTCGTTAGGAGCATCCCAATTTCGGGCTCCTATTTTGCCAAACTGATTTCATTGCCTAGTGACCAGCATCCAGGCTCAACGGGCAACTGGCCCCAGCCAGCACAGCGGCAGCTCATCATTATATGCGCTTTTGTGGTGATGATGGTATTAGGACCATGCAGAGACAACCACTGAATCATTGTTGCCCACGGCAAAGTGCCCGTAGTGAGGCCATCCATAGAGGCTGTCAACCTGGAATGCTATCACTCCAGTCTGACACACCTTTTATCTAGATGGTCATGCCTGTTATATATTCATTAATGTCGCCATTGACACAAGTATAGTCACTGGCCTGCCCCACCCCCCTGTCCTTATTTCATATCTGGTAACACTGGTAGGTATGTCTTAATGTTGGGAAATGTAACATTGTTTACTAATCTGCAAAACTTTCTAAATATGCTAAATTAAATCACTCACAGGGCTATTTTCTAAATCGAGAATTCTTGGAAACTCAGGCAATTGCACATTGCAGGCCGAAATAATCGAACTGGAAAATATCTCCCAGTCAGCCCTCTTTCTAGCTCAACTATATTTTGTTATAATTCTTTATTAGCGGGAGGTAAGCAAATACATTCAATAGAATACAAAATAAAGGTTACTTCAAGCCTCAGAGCAACTTCAGCCATCTAATTTTTAACTTAACAAATACAAACATTGTAGCATGAGGGTCATTTCTCTCTCATTTCACATTAGGGTCATTATTGTCACGGAAGTCATACCCCAATACGCAAGAAAGAGGAAACTCACAAAAGGTGGATCCGAAAGATGTACTACCGAGCCTTAGAATGGCCGGACTTAATGTATTAATACAACAAGAAACAGGGTCAAGATAAATCAAGGTCAGGATTACAGAAATACTCAGAGTGAAGACAAAGCCGGGTCAGGATACCAGAAATCACAAGTCAAATACAAAGCTGAGGTCAGGATACCAGAAATCTCGAGTCAAATAAGAAAGCCGATGTAAGGATACCAGAAATCACAAGTCAAATGCAGAGCTGAGGTCAGGATACCAGATATCTCGAGTCAAATAAGAAAGCCGATGTAAGGATACCAGAAATCACAAGTCAAATACGAAGCCGAGGTCAAACACAGGAAATCACAAGTGAATGTCTAGGAGCACTAAGCAAGGATCTAACATAAACCACAATAGGGGAATGAATGGGGGCTAAAACAAGCCTTAAATAAGCTTACCTATGTACTAAAAGGTTCACGTCATCACTGCGATCCCAAACAGATTATGATTGCAATGATGATGTGGTCACTTTAAGAGTGGGCGTGATGTCATGTCCATATCTAAACACAGCCGTGTGTTTCGTACACAACGTGTGGCAGGAGGAGGTCTGCACAGCTCAGTGGAGGTAAGTAATGCCACAATTATATAGCATTTCCTATGTATCCTCAGCCTTTCCCTCCCATTGTAAGTACAAACGTAACTCTCAGGTTGACTGAAGCTAATGTGAAGCATGGATGAGTGTTTCTCCCAAATTAATTTCCTAAGTTCATTCCCTAAAGAATTAATAAAGAGCCCCCAATTCTGGAAGTGTTTCTTGGTAAGACTATCTTTATAATTGGATGATTCCAACCAATACATCTGTAAGGTGTTTGTAATTGAATGCCTCGGATGGGTGCTCCAAATGAATCCTTTGATGTAAGATGTGGCTGCAGCTATTTTTTGTTTTAATTAAATTGTCCCATAACATAAAAATTATTAATCAATACACAGAATCATGGCAATAGAATATGAAAGAGTTAATAATTTCAAGAATATCAGCTCATTTAACTTTCCATTTATTTGGAGTATACCATTTGTATTTTATTTAAAGGGCCCATAATTTTGAATATAACATCATCATTTACACGTGATGGATTATCCCTTCAGAGTTCATCAGTCCCACCAGAGAGCCACGTGCTCATAGGTTTTGGTAGCCATAATATCTTCTACTTATCTCAGAGTGAACTCTTCCTTGTTACACTGTACACTATCAGGGGATGATAAGAGTTGTTGTTAATTTGGGTGCTGGTTTAACCGCATGAAAGGATGCAAAGAGGTGTGAACCAGGACTTGTGTTTGTTCAACATACTGGGTGGTAACATAAGCTGGCATGGCCATTCTATAAACACCCTAACTATTGGTATATTATATCCTGAAATGAGCTGTTACCTGTGTTGAATGTGAAGACTGCCCATCATTCTGATCTGGTTGGTTTACCTTTGTCTTAGTTGTTATTTCCACACCACAAAGGGGCAGCAAAATCCTACATGTCCAAGGGGCTGTCTCTATTCTGGAACTTCGGATGATTCCAATACAAAAAAAGCAGATCAAAAGCCAAGAACTCAGAACATCATGATAGACGTTCCCAAACAAAGGCTTCTATTTAAAGGGGATCCTGATTTGAAGGGACTATCGGGGAGTATTAAGCTGAGAATAACGTAACAGGAAACGCCACAAGCTTGGTAATTGGAAGGAGAATTTAAGAACAACATTATAGCCCTGAGGGGACTTAATCTACAAACTACAACATTTATTAAATGCCAGGTATAAAGGTAGTAATGTAATAAAGGTAAGCTTTAGCTGTGAGTCAGAGAAACTTATGCACATACTTATTGTTTGTAATGGATCAATTCATCTACACAATTATAATCAGCAAGAGATCATTCCTAATAAATATTAAATATGTCCATTATTTTCTCCGAACATATGCATTTGAAATCAAGTGTATATTGTTTTTTTAGTTTGTTTTTTTTAGAATCTTGCTATAGCATTTGCATCAGTATACAGCAACATCGAACAACCACATAAAGCAATTTTAATGCGTAATGTATTGCAAGTCAACCATCAAGATTTATCTTGATTCCATCACTGAAATACTACACTTGGCTCACAAAAGAGAGCTTGTGGTTACATGTTTGGGTTGTTGATTGGTTTTAAGGACAATGTATCATAAGCAAACGTTGGCAAAAAATAATAGTGCTTAAAGAAAGTTTGAGAGTTGGTGCTCATTTCACATAGAAAATATGTTCATTTAATTCATACAACTCTTTCTAAATGTTGATTAAAAGAAAAAGTATTTTGACACAGGCTTAATCATTTCTTGTTTTTGCGCGATAAAGCGATCCAACCTTTTTCTAAATATTTGTTAGTACATTGCCTAATTGTTTTGTGTTTATAACATTACTTGCAGGTTTTTTTATTACATTTTTGTTCTTTTTAGAAATATTGAAAACTCTCCATGAACTTTTTTGGCTTGAATTATGGAAACTTTGCGTGCAGAGAGGAATTAGTGGCGCCCAAGTGTTGCCAGTTGTTTTAGGAATATTCTAAGCACTAGATAACCTGTAAGTACTAGCTATGGGCTGTAATTCTGTTGCCTCAGCAATATTATACAAGTTCACCAATCCAAATGTAATGTGTTTCTTCCTAAAATATATCACTAATATAGCCTTCCCATTACATTTACATTCCGTTCCTTACATTTTGCCCACACATTCCGATTTAGTTTTGCCCATTTTATATTATTGAATTTGTTGGGTTTTTTTTTCTTAAAGAGTAATGACCATGCTCCTATAACAAAAATTAAATATTGCTCATTATATATGGAAATCTTCACCATTTTTACCCAGAGATAATTGCAGTGATAGCTGTTCTCCAGCTCCTCCAAATTTGCTCCTCTGTGTGTTGGTGGAGTGGGTACTTACTCTCCTTTTTGAGTTGTCACTCCCCTCTTGTGGATGACACCATTACTTTTTCTGACTGTCTGGACTCTTCCACATTTTCCATTTGAATTTACCCTTATTTCCCCCAGTAGAGCAGAAGTGCATAAAAGACTTATACTCAACTTTGCCAACTTATCTGGGTTATTGACTCCACCATTTTGATTTATTAATGTTTGCTTCTTCCCAGATTTTGTGCTGATCTACTTAATTTTGTAATTGTCCCCATTTTTAATAATTAAATCAGCTTGTCGGTACAGCGTACATTGACTATAATGAGAACTCTTCATTCGGAGTGCAACAAATTTGCCCAAAGTTATCCTGCACTGGTTTTCCTAGTGGTATCTATTGTTTGTGTCAAACCGAGACTCCGTTCCCTCGAGGTTACTTCCGCGTTTGGAAGTAAGCTTCTCCCATCTTTGTGACGCTACACTCACCTGCCTTATAGGGAAGCCGCGCCAAACTCAAATTGCTGAGTTATTCTGTCCTAACCTCAGACACCATGCTGAGCTACCACATACTTCTTTGTATTCCGAAAAACTCGTACAACACGCTACTGTCATTTCACCTTTCGTATACAGAACAGGATCTGTTAAACTTGACTGCTGCCTACCCCACTTTTTGAAATGAATACTTGGACCTCGACCACGCTGCCATCTCCTTTTCCCAGACCAGGACTGACACCGCAATTCCTTAAAGGACCACTCTAGTGCCAGGAAAACATACTTGTTTTCCTGGCACTATAGTGACCTGAGGGTGCCCCCACCCTCAGGGACCCCCTCCCGCCCGGCTCTGGGGAGAGGAAGAGGTTAAACTTACCTCTTTTTCCAGCGCCGGGCGGGGAGCTCTCCTCCCTCTTCTCCTTCTCTTCGGCTGAATGCGCATGCGCGGCAGGAGCTGCGCGCGCATTCAGCCAGTCCATAGGAAAGCATTCTAATGCTTTCCTATGGACGCTGGCGTCTTCTCACTGTGATTTTCAATGAGACAGCCACTAGAGGCTTTAGAGGCTGGATTAACCCTATTATAAACATAGCAGTTTCTCTGAAACCGCTATGTTTATAAAAAAAAAAAAGGGTTAACCCTAGCTGGACCTGGCACCCAGACCACTTCATTAAGCTGAAGTGGTCTGGATGCCTAGAGTGGTCCTTTAAGACTATCAAACAAGCTGAACCTTCATTAATAATACAGCTGGACACTTCCTGAACTCTTCAAACCTACCAAGAACATCATCCTTAGGATATTCCTGGAAAACCATAAGTATCACTAATTCCTATTCAAGTATTTAAGGACTTTGTTACCTTTGTTTGTTACAATTGTTTCAACTAGTAAATCAAGACAATTTTCTTTCTGCATGCCAAACTGCCATTAGTAGAAATTATAATTGCCTACTACCTAGTTTCACTATAAAAGAGATTGAAGATAACTAAAACTTCTCAAGAAATCCAAAGTAAATGCTTTTTGATTTTCTAAAAAGTACAGTACTACCTATTAATTCTGCAGTTGTGTTCCTCTATCTTGTCTAATCTTCCTGAATCATAACAGTTTGGGAAGGTTTCTGTTCAAGTCTCCCATAGATGGGGCTAGAATAATGATAAATGCAAGTTATTTTCCATTAAAGTAATAGCTACTTTTTATTTGCTTACTGCATATGTTGCAGATCCACTTTAATTGGCATGTTTTTTTCTGTGATGCTGCTGAAATGTCAGCCTTACTCCAAGCTGACAGCAAGGTGACTGGTGATGTGAAAGCAAAACTCAGAGGTCCAATTCTATTCTTAGATAATCAGAGTCCTAGTTAGAGCCAGACATTGAAATCTTGCTTTGCAACCAGGGACTGCTGTGGATATACAATTTTTAGGCACTGCTAAGTATAGGATATACAGTATCTCACAAAACTGAGTACACCCCTCTCATTTTTGTAAATATTTTATTATATCTTTTCATGTGACAACACTGAAGAAATGACACTCTGCTACAATGTAAAGTAGTAAGTGTACTTCCTGTATAACAGTGTAAATTTGCTGTCGCCTCAAAATAACTCAACACACAGACATTAATGTGTAAACAGTTGGCAACAAAAGTAAGTACACCCCTAAGTGGAAATGTCCAAATTGGGACCAAAGTGTCAATATTTTGTGTGGCCACCATAATTTCCCAGCCCTGCCCTAGCCCTCATGGGCATGGAGTTCACCAGAGCTTCACAGGTTGCCACTGGAGTCCTCTTCCACTCCTCCATGACAACATCATGGAGCTGGTGGATGTTAGAGACCTTGCGCTCCCCCACTTTTCGTTTGAGGATGCCCCAAAGATGCTCAATAGGGTTTAGGTCTGGAGACATGCTTGGCCAGTCCATCACCTTTACCTTCAGCTTCTTTAGCAAGGCAGTGGTCGTCTTGGAGGTGTGTTTGGGGTAGTTATTATGTTGGAATACTGCCCTGCGGCCCAGTCTCTGATCATGCTCTGCTTTAGTATGTCACAGTACATGTTGGCATTCATGGTTCCCTCAATGAACTGTAGCTCCCCAGTGCCGGCAGCACTCATGCAGGCCCAGACCATGACACTCCCACCACCATGCTTGACTGTAGGCAAGACACACTTTCTTTGTACTCCTCATCTGGTTGCCGCCACACACACTTGACACCATCTGAACCAAATAGGTTTATCTTGGTCTCATCGGGACATGGTTCCAGTAATCCATGTTCTTAGTCTGCTTGTCCTCAGCAAACTGTTTGCAGGCTTTCTTATGCATCATCTTTAGAAGAGACGTCCTTCTGGGACGACAACCATGCAGACCAATTTGATGCAGTGTGCGGTGTATGGTCTGAGCACTGACAGGCTGACCCCCCACCTCTTCAACCTCTGCAGCAATGCTGACATCACTCCTATGTCTATATAGACAACCCCTGGATATAACGCTGAGCACGGGCACTCAACTTCTTTGGTCGACCATGGCGAGGCTTGTTCTGAGTGGAACCTGCCTGTGAAACCGCTGAATGGTCTTGCCCACCGTGCTGCAGCGTTTCAGTTTCAGGGTCTTGGCAATCTTCTTATAGTCTAGGCCATCTTTACATAGAGCAGCAATTCTTTTTTTTAGATCCTCAGAGAGTTCTATGCCATGAGGTGCCACATTGAACTTCCAGTGACCAGTATGAGAGAATGTTAAAGCGATAGCCATTTTCCCTCCGAAGTGTCATGTGACTAGTTAGTGTTACAAGGTCTCTGGTGTAAATTGGGACATGTGTGTTAAATTTGGTGTTAATTGGGCCCAATTTGGACAATTCCACTTAGGGGTGTACTCACTTTTGTTGCCAACAGTTTATAGACATTAATGGCTGTGTGTTGAGTTTTTTTGAGGGGACAGCAAATTTACACTGTTATACAGGCTGTACACTTACTACTTTACATTGTAGCAGAGTGTCATTTCTTCAGTGTTGTCACATGAAAAGATATAATAAAATATTTCCAAAAATATGAGGGAAGTACTCACTTTTGTGAAATACTGTATATCATGTTTGTTTTAAAAGTACCTTATGGTAAGGTATTGTTGAACAGCTTCCTCATCAGTGGGGAGATTTTGCATTGTTTAATCTCGGAGTAATCTGACACAAACAAGGTTATTCACTAAACTGTTTGTAGCCAATTAACCCATTACGGACACAGCTTCAAAAGTAAAAGGGCAACATGACAGAACATTTCCGTCACGTGTCCTTTTAAATATGAATGGCAAAAAATAGCTGGTCTGGAAAAATTCTCCTACTCTGCTCCAGTCACCGCTTGGCTATTTTAGTCCAAATCTTGCAGTGAAAATTTGAGTTCCCTGCAATTCAACGTTAAATGAACAAATACCATGTGCAAATCAATGAACTTCTTGTAGACCTCTCTACATTATGATGTTCTACTACATTCATGACAGGTGGTACCAATGTATGAAATTATGCCCTCAGTGTCACTAATGCAGTGCAGTGTCCTTTTAAGATGAGTCAATAAAGTTTACCCCAGAAGGTACAAATCTTTCTAAAAAAGACAATCATGGAAGAAGACCACAGTAGTGAAGAATTGTCAGTCTCTATATTATGATGTTCTACTGCATTCATGAGAGGTGGTACCAATGTATGAAATTATGCCCTCGGTGTCACTAATGCAGTGCAGTGTTCTTTTAAGATGAGTCTACATTTTATTCCCCAAAAAGTACCAATCTTCCTTTAAAAAGACAATCATGGTAGAGGACCACAGTAGTGAAGAATTGTCAGGCCCTTTGGGGTTGCATCTTGGTAACAGCTGCACCCCCTACTGTTTTGGTTTAATGCTCCTGAATGTTTGATTGCCAGCCTCCTTGCCTGAATAAAGAGAGAACCTACAATGATTGTAGCTTGAAAGGATATTTATATTCCGTCGAGCATCTTAGCTTTCCTGGGTGTTTTGTACTCTCCTTTATTTCTATACACTTGGCTCAATTTCACATCAGTGCTAACTCAACAGACTGAATAGAGGCCTATCCATCAAGTGAGACTGCCTGCAATATTTATGCAAATACAATCACAAGGTTCCTAACTGAATAAAGAGATTGTGTCCTACAGATATTGCACAAAGATAGATTAACCATTTGGTTGTTTTGGTTGAATAAAATTCTGATGAGCGCCAGAATTATTTATATCATGCTGTAATAGAGAATACAGTGTACTTTACATTAATTCACTTTTAAAAAGATCTCTTTAATTTTGGATCTTAAGCCTCCAGCAGATGACTCGTTTAACAGGATTAACTACACTATATAGACTTCACAACACCAGCTGCCACTGAATTCTTAATTAGATGACTTTTCTTACGTACAAATTAGTTCTGAGTCAGTCTTTGAAAAAGTTATATGAAATCAAAAAGTTCAACATTTCTTCAACAGTGCACAATCATCACAGATATAAAGTGTACCTGTCTGTATAGATTTTTCGAACTTGTAACTTTTTATAACACCACTATATATTTTTGTAACGCTCTGTATTTTTAAGGTATCAGTTTATTTGAGAGTTTTGGCGTTTATATTTTGTTAAGCAGTAAGTTATTTAAAACTGTATGAAACGTAGCACAAATCATTTTCTATTACAACACTGTATCTCAGATATTATTACCTGTCTAAATCTATACTTCAGATTTATATATATGCATACATAGATTCAGATTGTACTTTTTTTTTCAAGATATAGAAAGCCAAATATTTTTCAAATTAACATTTTAATGGAAAGTCAAAAATTATTCTAAAATTTAGGATTATGCCAACATTCTTATGATGAGACTTTGCCATTAGAATCAAATCTATCTTTCTATCTTTTTTGGGGGGAGGGGATGAGGCTTGAGAAAATTATAAGATATGTTTACCAGACAATTTTATCAAATTGTCTCAGGGCTCTGGGTAGTCACCAAAGTAATGTAAGGAGCAATCTATTGGGAACTTATTGTGTTTGATATAAATTGCTTAGATTTAACCACTGATTTAAATTAAACTCACTGGTATCTAGGCATGTGAATGGGAAAAATTTTCGGTTGGTTCGGCTCGGCATTCTGAAATTCGGAACTTCGGCACTTTGACACTTTGGACATTAGGTCCCCCCTCCTCATTCTAATTTAGGGCCCCAAACCCACCGCTCAGGGGTGGGGGCCAGGGGGGAGGACATTAGGTCCCCCCTTATTCTAATTTAGGGCCCCCACCCACCGCTCAGGGGTGGGAGTCAGGGGGAGGACATTAGGTCCCCCCCCTAATTAGTATTTAGTGCTTCCATCCACTGCTCAGGGGTGGGGGTCAGGGGGGAAGACATTAGGTCCCCCCTCATTCTAATTTAGGGCCCCCACCCACCACTCAGGGGTGGGGGCCAGGGGGGAGGACATTAGGTCCCCCCCAATTAGTATTTAGGGCCCCCACCCACCGCTCATGGGTGGGGGCCAGAGGGGAGGACGTTAGGTCCCCCCTCATTCTAATTTAGGGCCCCCACCCACCGCTCAGGGGTGGGGGCCAGGGGGGAGGACATTAGGTCCCCCCCATTCTAATTTAGGGCCCCCACCCACCGCTCAGGGGTGGGGGTCAGGGGGGAGGACATTAGGTCTCCCCCCTAATTGGTATTTAGGGCCCCCACCCACCGCTCAGGGGTGGGGGCCAGGGGCGAGGACATTAGGTGTCCCCCCCTCATTCTAATTTAGGGCCCCCACCCACCGCTCAGGGCGGTGGACATTAGGTCCCCCCCCCCTTATTCTGATTTAGGGCCCCCATCTGCCGCTCAGGGGTGGGGGCCGGGGGGACTTTAGGGCCCCCACCTGCCGTTCAGGGGTGGGGCCCAGGGGGGGCAACAGGTTCCCCCTTCAGGTTAGAAGCCCCCACTCGTGCGGCATGGGTGGGGGCTTGGGAGGGGGGACGTGTTTTTGTTTTTTACAGTGAGAAGCCATAGGCTGCTCACTGTTTAATAGACATGCCCCTACTTGCGGTATAGTGAGTAGGGGCATAATTTACTAATACTAAGTAATCTTTACTTAGTATTAGTAAATTTGGCTGAAAGACCAATTCAGATCTTTCGGCCTTTTAGTAGATAGCTCCCTAATACCGTGGGAATTAGGGAGTTATCTACTTATTCATTCCTGTCAGTCCATTGACAGGCTAAGTAACTTACATTTTATATGAATGTATGTTACTTGATTGTTGTAAGTGTTGCAAATGCTTACAGCTGAATCCTGGCTATGTTTGTAAACGTTTTATTTAAACTTGTATACAGTGTAACCTTCTTCTTCCACTAGGTAAGTATATTAGTAACTTCGGCACTTTAGCACTTCGGAAGTTCGGCACTTCGGCACTTTGACACTTCGGAAATTCTATATTTTCGGAACTTCAGGACTTCGGCTATTCGGACATTCCGAAGTACCCGAATTGCTCGAAATTCGTCCGAATTCATATTTAGACCGAAACGAATTGCACATGTCTACTGGTATCTGAGGTTTGCCAACTTCTGTGCCAGTCCCACTGATAATGTTAATTTAATATAAATTCATATTTTGACATATTTAGAGAAACCTGGCACAATAGACACAATGAATGAAAAAGTACCACATCTATCTGTCTGTCCATCAATCCATATCTGTCAGTCTATCTATTTATCTATCTATCTATCTATCTATCTATTTATTGTGCATAATGGATGCTGTACCACACTCTGAAAAAAAGATTTTCATTTATATTGAATTTCAACAAACTTGTCTGACAGGGGTTGTATTTACCTGTGACGTGTCCTACTCTACATCTGTAGACTGTACAGTGCAGTGCATTTAATTGATTTATATCATGATAGGTCTATTAATGTACATGCCTGATGACCAGATCGCTTATATTCTCGGAGACAGTTCTATATGAACGTTTCGCTTATTGGGGCTGTTAGGAAGATGCTGCCTTCATTATTGATATTTTCCTTTCCAATCCATAACAGGAAACCTTTAAATGGCTTAGCCAAGGCAATCTATATGCAAACACACACAAAAGTCATGACAAATTAAGAGTGTTATTGATTAGTTTAGATGGTATAGATAGAGTAAGCTGTAAAAGGAAAAAAGCATGCAAGGCCAAACGAGATGTAAAAATTGAAGATGTTTTGAAAGTAAATGGTGCTTTACACAAGAAGAAACTGGTGCATTTCTGCAAAGATTACAGCCAAGTATTAAATAAAGCAAGATTACAGTAAGTGGAGAGAGATGAGCTATTCATATGATTTGACTGGGTGGTTAATATTGCATTTCTTCATTAACTACTCTAGTAAACTGAAGTTCAATGTAAGTTGTCAACAGGAGGACTATTCATTTCTGTTACTTTAATAGAATATCTATCTATCTATCTATCTATCTATCTATCTATCTATCTATCCATTATCTATCTATCTGTCTGTCGTTCTATCTATCTATCTGTCTGTCTGTCTGTCTATCTATCTATTCCTCTAGGACTATTACTCAGAGATTAAAAAGACCTTTGTTTTTTTACATCTCATAGAGAGAACATTGAATTTTATGATAGTGAAAAGATGTCCTAAGTCTTTATGAAGGTAAAGAGTGTTACAATGTGTCATATAATTATAAGATGTATACAAAGTATAAGATTTTAAATACAAGCTTTCAAGACTACTTGGACCTAATTTTCAGACATGATATTCCACT